CACCTCGCTCTGCAGAGCGCTCTAAGAGTCGAATCTTTCTGAAATGCAATTTTATATTAGGGTGCAGCAATATGTAGATATTATATCATTATCGAGGTACGAGACTTTATATCGTCTTAGATTTTGGATATCATATCTTGATACAGCATAAATGGTGTTTTTCCTTCGTTTGAAAGGCTGAATTACAGCAAACTCATGTGAATGTGTCAACTTACTGGACTTCTCTACTTGTTTTAATGTTTCCCATCCCCCCACTTAGTCTTTATATCCACAGTATTGATGATTATTAATCAAAAATCTCAGTGTGTTAATATTTTCTGCAAAAAACAAACAAACAAACGACAGTCATTGTACAACTGTGTCCCATCAGAGAGGATATTTGGTCAGAAATATTATGTTCGATTTTGTCTCCCAGTCTTAACATTGACAAAGTGCTTCAGAGGAGATTTAAAAATATTGTGATATTTTTTTTTCAGCACGTCGCCCACCACTATTTAATAATATATACATGAACAAAAATTAAAATTTTTCTATTAGACTTATGTTACACCTGTCCGCCTCTAGAAAATGTTCCCAACAGCTTTGTTATAAATATAAAACCCACAAAGGTTGTGTTGGTCATGTGATCACATTGAGACATTTTGGAAGGACGCTCAGTGACTCTGCAGGTTACAGATAAACAGTTCACGCTGTCCTAATTTTACCTGTAAAACCAAACTTTGGAAAACATTTTGACATGGACACCAAACCTCTGTCAATCTGAGCATAAAGTGTCTCTGACGGTCCCCACGGGCCACATGTGGATGTCACAGATATCGGCTCCCGTCCCTCTGGACTCATGATCTGAGTCATAAACTGGACAAATTCTGGAAACTTTGGAATCCCGTCCTTCTGACGGTTTGTTCCTGACAGGAAATGGCTGATTGTTTGTGCCACACTATCTGTTCATTTCCTGTCATATCTGTTTTCTCTCCTTCTTTAATTTAATTTTTATGTTTTGCAGCATCTGTTGTTGATTTGGGGCTTTCCTGCTGTCTGTATATGTTTTTTTCTGTTTGTTGCTGATAATTCTAAAATCAATTTTAAAAAAATTGCTAACCGTAGCTAGTCGGCAGCAAAAATACTTCACAGTTAAACCTGATATTAAAATTATTATTATTTCATGTGATTGTGTTCAGCTGATGAAAATGCCGTTGTAATAATCAGGCACGTTTCCTGAAGATTTATTTTAATACAGAATATTGTTTTCTTTTATTTAGTGAGCTGTTGTCATGTCTTGTAGGATGATATGCAAAGTGCCACACATCTCAGCAGCATTTAAAATACAATTTGATAACAACATGTGAATAATGATTTCTAACAGCTCTCATAAAACATGCAACACTTTTACAGACCAAGATCAAACTGTGCAGAACTCTGAGTGTTTCCTTCACTGCTTTAATCTGTATATTAAAGGTTCTGTCAGGTCTGTCTAACCAGCGACATGATAAGTGGAAGTCTGAAGCTGCTGCGTCGCCATAAAGGTGATTTTTTTTGTAAATGGACAGACAGCGGCGCTGCACACAGTCAGGACTAATGCACTGCTGAAAATAGATAAACTGGAGAAAAGAATTTACACGAATACAGAGAGACTCAGTATAAGTCAATATGGCCACCCTTCTTAGTGACCAATCATGTCCTGAAGACAAGACAAGCCCAGTAGGTGACTTCACACACCTAATGCTGATGCACATGTGAAGGCTGAGAGGTGTCAGGACAGATTTAAATAACGATGAAACCTTTCTGTAGTCAGATTTAAAGATATTGAACACTGTGCAAAATATTGTCAACCAGCAGCCTCAGTACAAAGACTCTGAACCAGACTTCTGTCTTAAAACAATAAGGTGGAGCCCTGCTGCTGCTGCTGAGGCGCTGACAACATGTCAGACTGTGAGTGGTTTGTACGGCAGCAGATGACTCAACCTGCTCCTTCAGTAGCTTCAACTGTACTTTGTATTTTAACACTTGTGTGTCTTCAGGGTGGTTTTAATATGAGCCTGTACAGGTTTCTGCCCTCACATGCACTTCTTTATATTAGCTATTCCCTGATGTTTAATATTTATGTGAAACAAATGAACAGAAGAACAAAAGAAAAAGAGGAGTTAAAGCACAGAGCACTTTACAAAGACGTACAGACACAGTATGTTTAGGACGAAGGCAGACGCAGAGCGGTGATGCTGATGGGTGGGTTTATTTCTTTATCTGGGCTCTGGGTGATAATCAGGATGTGAATAAAGTTGAGATGCAGTTTGTTTATTTAATGTCTAAGATTGTTGTTTATTTACCCATATTAATGGCTGTAAATGAGTTTGGGATAGATGTGGACAACTTCATGTTTAAATGAGAGATGAGTAGTGAGAAGGAGGATCATAGAAGTGTGCACGTCTTCCTGCTCTTTTTCCAGCATGTCTGTTAATGTTTTGTTTTTAATGTTTGTTTTGCTCAAAAGGAAGTCATTCAGTCATTCATTCATTCATGCATGACCGCCAAGTCATTTTTTTATTAGATAAATTATCATATTTATATTTATTTGTATATAAATTATGATAGTTTTGTCAGATATATAGTCGAGGAAAGGTTGTGTTGTGGAGTGCATATTTATTCTGTAACACTGGGTGGGACTAAATAAACTGGGTTTATTACTCATTTACTTAATTGGGGGTAAACAGAGCGGGGACAGTTGTGTATTAGTTATAAATATATTAGGGGATTTGTTGAAATAATATTTGAGTTAAAAGAAGAAATCTAAGAACAGGGTAGAGACCTATGCGTTATACTTCCACCTGCTCTTTTTCAGACACTGTTATCTTCTTCCTGTTTGTTTTTTATTATGTTTTTTAATGGTTTCAAAAGTAAGTCATTCATTCATTCGTTATTAATATTACAGGTACAAATTAAACTTTTGGTAACCGACTAGAAAAATAATATCAGTTGCTTTTTGCAGTTTACCAGATACATGTTGTAGTAATGAAACAGACTGAAATGAGATGGAGAGACTGAAAATGTTTTATCGTTTTAGATAAAACAGATGTTGATAAAGTTGAAAATAGGTAATAAATATACAGCATATCGCAACACGTTTAAAACCACAGTCATACTGTATCGTGATAACACAGTACTGTGGGGCCTCCGGTGATTTCTTCCTCTGTTGTTTCCTCTTACTGGAATGTTTATGGGTGTGTACCTGCACAGTGCTCAGGTGAGGTCAGGGCTTTATTAAAGGTAGCGACCAGGTCACAGATCCAGGAGAATGCCACACGACAGTGAAGCTGGAGTTGGCTTTCACTTTCTCTTTCTACAGCACCAATCCTGCTCTGTTTACCTTTAAACTTCAGTCTGAATGTCAGGTAGATGAGGAACGTCCTCACCATCTGCCGTCGCTCTCAGTCACTCTGTTTGTCTCTGAGAGAAATGCAGCTTTGTGTTCGGTTTGTTTTGCATCTCTTACAACCTTCTGTGTCTCATCTTTGTGCAGCCCGGCAGTGCAGCCCTCCTGCACACACTCCTGGCAACTTCCTGCCCCTGAAATGATTCCTCACCGCATCTGTTGACCCAGCAGCACCTCCACCTCCACCCCCGCCCCCACCACCCACACAGCATCATCTTAAAAATAAAGCACATTTAATTAAAGTAAGAGCTCGGGAGTCGTCAAAAGCTGCATTACTATTATTGCGAGGGCACGTTTGTGACAAACGTCTCTGTGACATATTGCACAGCACATTCTCCAACTCCAGCAGTAAATGCAGCTACTTGAGGAGAGAACACAACACACAGACTCAACAGCACTTGTGCCAAGCACTCAGCAGCTCTCTGCCTGTCTCTCTCTCTCTGTCTGTCTGTCTGTCTGTCTGTCTGTCTCCTGGCTGTGAGCTTCTCATGCTCCGGTCACTGAACACAAGTATTCTGAGTATTCAATTTATTTTAACGATTGAATGTAATCCTCAAAGAGACATGACCTGAAACCTCTGCACGCTGCATGTATGTGTGAATAACCAGCAGCACTTCAGAGCAGCTGTTGGCTCACATGTGCCTGACTCAAGATCGCCACCTAGCGCCCACAGTGTGTCAGTCCCTGTGTAAAGTCTGCATGCTGCGATGCCTCAGGGGGAATCAATAGAAATACTCCAACAGCAATGATCATCCTGACCCGTCTGATTAACATCAAAACCCTCAGACAGGCTCCAGCAGACTGACTGACACTGTCTCAGAGCACAGAGAGCTTCAGTCCTCAGCACAGCAGCTCTCTGCAGGTTTTTACTTCAGGTAGAAAGAAGCTCACTTCTTCTGTCCTATACTTGATTACAGCTAATTGCATTCAGCCGAAGGTTGACTCTGTCCCGATTAGATCACTGGAATAAAACCCAGCAGAGCTCTGGGACCTGAGGACTGCACAATAAAGTGAAGAGACTGAGAACAAATCAGCTGGCAGTAAATAAGAATAAAGCCCAAAGTGACTGCACGTAAAGAAAACACTCAGTTTCATTAAGAGGAGGAATGAGAATAACTTTTTCTGCAGCCAGCCTCATCATGGAGCCTCACACACAGACAGGACCAACAGGCACCATGTTATAAACCATCTGACACATGGATATAAGGGTGTGTGATGACGGAGCTGTCATTCATCAGTTACACTAATTTCAAATTTAAACTGTGTCAATTCTGCAGCTGGATTTATAGATTATTAAAGGTGCAAATATCACAAACACTGCACGGACTCATCAGCCTGCTGCAAAGTCTTGTAACTGTATTATTAACTTCAGCATGACTGTCTGTCACAGAGCTGCTGGTAATCAACACAGAGATACGCGTTCATACAAAGACAGCAATGTGGAATATTAATAAAACATCCTGCATGAGTGCGGATGGTGTCATCATAAAGTCACCAACACAGTGTCAACGGATCATCTGTGTGTGTAAACTAAGTGATTTTACCCGTGACAGGCTGAATAATAAGCGCTTACCTGCAGGAGGGACGCGTCCTAAATAAAGTTCATTGTGGTGGAAACAGTGCGCAAACAGAGGAGGTGCTGGAGGAGCGTCCTGGGAGCAGAAATATTCTCACAATTAAAACGTGTGTCTGCGGCGAGAGAGTAAAGTCCTCAGCTGATCTCCGTGTCGGTGTCCGCTAGTAGTGAAGTTGAGCTCAGTGCTGTCAGCTGTGAGCTGCTGCTGCTGCTGCAGATTCTCCTCCTCACACAGACCGAAGAGCAGGAGGCAGCGAGAGGACTCCCCCCCCCACGCGCACACACCCCTCCTCCACCTCCATCACACCGCTTCCGCTTTCACACAGATAAATCACTGAGGCTGTGCGGGGTTTGGACCCAAGTCTAACAGGTGTGAGTATTGAAAAAATATTAATAATAATAAAATATAAATGTTATGTCTGATACACTGTGAACCCCCCTGTCCATCCATGACACTGTGTTCTAATGCCAAGTCTGCACAATGTCCCGGATTGTCAAAATAACATTAAAACTTTATGTTCACTTGTCACAAAAACTCATCTCTGTTCACTTGACATCATTTTTTATGTTAATTCATCAATTTTTGAGTTAATTTGACTAAAATTTAAAGAGATGATTTTGTCTAATTAGTTTAAAGCCAATAAACAACGCTGGTTTCGCTGGTCTCACACGCACATGTGAGCGCGGTGCCCAGAGAGGCAGTCAGAGCTACAGGCTACAATGAGGCTAAAAACAGAGTTCAAATGAGGTTTTTCCAAACAGCTTTTTATGTCGGGGCTTCAGGACACTTGGATCACTACGGACGAGCAGTATGGAGATATTTTGTGGTTTCAATTAGGTGTTTTTGGACGTTTGAATCTGGGGCGCCGTCAGCCTCCATTAGGTGGAGTTGTGTTGCTACCTCCTCTCCCCTTGGATCTCTGCAAGTGATGTGAGGACTCTAAAACTTCACCTGAGCCTCCCTCGGCATATGGGTGAGTAGATAATGGCTGAATTTTCATTTTTGGGTGCACTATCCCTTTAAGTATGTTCCCTCTGTGCTACTTTATTTCTACTTCCTTCCATTTTGGAAACAAGTTTTGTATTTTAGTGTGAAGGATTTAGCAGCATCTAGTGGTGAGGCTGCAGAACGTAAACGTCTCCCATTAAGTGACTAGCGAAGAATTTCAGTGGCCAATGTTAAAATAACAAGTAGCCGTATCTAAAGCCACAAAGTACGTTTACATGACATCAGACAACATTTATTTATTGTGCCAGTCTTTTAAAATCCCTGTAAACATGTCAGTGTGAGTGAAATGGTCCTGCAGTGAATGTGTCACAGTGGGACTAACACACCCAGATCATGTGACTCCTGCATGTATACAGTCAGTCAGACCCAAACTGGCCGAGGCGCTCTGAGCATGCTCCACAGTTTCCGCCCCGGGCTTTGACCCGGAAGTCCAATAGCATTAAATGTGTAAGAGAAGATGAAGCCGCTAACAACATGGAGAAATCTACATCCAGTCAGTTTGTTAAGTTCAGAAAATTCCTGCCTTTAAAATCAGGAAAAGACAACACTTACCATATCACCAAAATCCAAGATAATATCTAGACTCATATCATGATATCAATATATTACCTAGCCCTCAGATAAAGTAATCAAAATGAGCTCCCCACTTATCAGCTGCAACATAATGCAGTAAAGTGATGTAGGTCTTAATGCATCACAAATCAAGTATTTTAAATTAAAATAATGCCTTATTTCATACCTTTTGATGCTAATACTTTGGTGCTTTTACTTAAGTAATATTTTGATCACAGGACTTTTACTTGTAACAGAGTATTATTGGGTGTGAAAGCAGAAGCAGTCACAACGTATGTTCCTCTGAAGCTTTATTTTTTACACCATTGTAATTTTCGCCATGTAACTCCTTCCACATTTTACAAAATAGAAACTCCAAACATCAAAATATTCAGCTTAGTTAGGACATGGTGTGCTTGTATTTTTCATACTCCCCGAAATATTCAACATTTTTCAGAAGATTGAATGGAGGAATGTTCAAATCTGAAGCTTTTTTCAACCATTTTCAACTCCTATCTCCTCATTCACACGTTCACGTAGAAACTCCATTCAAACTTTAAAATGTTCCTCATCTTCTGTTCATTCTGGGTCACATCACTCATACATTAGTGGTGTTATGCAACATTTGAATCCAGCATTGCGTAGCGTCAGTATTTCAGCAGCCCTTACATTATTCCTTGTTCCAACCTTTAAATGACATTCATACTAATTAGACCTCTTTCAGCTTTTTCAACTATTCCTATCACTTTACCTTCTTCTGTTAGCCTACATTAAAGCTAGTATTGCAGTGTAGTGTCAGGTTAAAAAAACAAACTTCAAATATTCCACATCATTCATACATTAATGGCATTATTCAACATGTAAATCCAGCACTGTGGTTCAGTGTAGTATCACTATTTGTTCACAAGTAAAGGATCTGAGACTTCTTCCACCACTACATTAAGCTAACATGTCATGGCTAACATGTTAGCATAACAAGTACTCACACATCCAGCAGAACAACATGGCCGTCCCTTTCTTCTCCACCTGTTGAGTTGAAGTTGCAGGTGTTGTATTCCTTATTTGTTGTGACAACCTTTGAGATTATAGCCGTCATTTTGCTAAATAGATTAAATGTTAAACTTTCCTCAGCAGTCTCTCCTTTATAACTGCTCTCAGAGAAAGCATAAAGTTAGTTTTAGAGTCCGCCATCTTGGATTTTACAAGGAAAAACCACCTGCACTTTATCCAATTAAACTATGTTTATTTTTTGTTTTTTTGTGCTTAACAACGATTATTAACCGCCTCCATCGATTATTTTTCTTCTGTTAGATTGGTAATAACTTCAGATTCACAGTTCATTCACTTCACCCGATTATATATTTCGTGTAAATTTGGGTTTTGCTCTGTTCAATCATGACAGCTCATTATTTCTCCACACTAACCGACTGCACCTGAACGCAGCAGCGGAACGCCCCGCTTCTGCGTCATGACGTCATCATCTTGCGTGCCTCAAACACTTCCCTGAAGTTGTGCCTGTGTTGTTTACAAGTGTCTCTTCCCGCCCTGGGACTAAAAGCAGCTGATTGTCGGGAAGCAGCGGCTCCACATGGCTCCTGCTGAGGTCTGAGGATGATCAAGACCGAGAAGATCCTTCATCTGAAGAGCTGCCGGGGCCGGAAGGTCCGGGTGGTACGTGAACACTACCTCAGGGAGCGGGTTCCGTGCTACAGCTCCCGGTGTCAGGCGGACTGTGACAACGGTAACGGTACAGTCACATCACTAACAACAATAACAACAACACAGGGACAACTGACTTTAATTTACTCTAATATTTAACTACCGCCTAAATACACACCGCAGCTTCCGGTACACACTGATCACTAACAATAACACAGATAACACAGTTTATGTCACTCAGACTACACACTGCAGCTGATGGTGGTGCAGCTCAGAGGCGACAGGTCACTGTGAACCTGGCTCCATCCATGAGGAAGAGGAAGATACACACTGTTGTCTCACACACACACACACACACACAGAGTCCTGAGAGCTACTGCTGTCTCCATGTCAGCCTCACACACCATCTGCTTCTGTTCATATATTCATCCTCAATTTGTATTTTATATAATCACATAATTCACCTTACATGAACTCCTTACATGTATTTCACTGACAGCTCTCTGGTCCACTTTAATGTTGTGTGTTTTTATTCTTATGTTCCTGCTCTTCATCACTGTGTGTATCAGTGTTGTGTCATATAACTTACTAGATGCTTACATTTCCTTCAGGAATAATTAATTAATTAATTAATTGGGTCCCCATCAGGCAGCAGCTTCTCCTCCTGGGCTCCACACAGGCAAACATTACATCATAGTGTTAAACATATATATAATGAAAAATCCAGGGTGAAAAGAAACACAAATACAAGAAAACAGGAAAACTACTAAATAAAACTCACAAATAAAATAAATTAATAAATTAACCAGAATAAAACTACTAATGGAAATAATTACAATGACAATAAGTGTCCTCAATATATCTAAACAAATAATTCTACAGCTCAAAGGAAACAGTAGCACCACTAAAACATTATATACAGTGACCGAGAGAAATAATAAATAATAAAATACCTTCCTGTCTCTCTAAATGTATGTTACTGCAGAATATATTTACTCTATAATTTCGTTTGATTTACGAACAGTTTCTACCCTGTAGAGGTGTTTGACATATATAAATATGATTATATGAGGATTAACGTTAAACTATAAGTTGATCTGTGGCATCACAGCAGTGACATTAGTCAAAGCTGAGACAGGTTGTCGTGCAGTCTGTCCCACGATACGATATTATAATGATGCTTAAAGTCATGATGCGATATGATTGTTTTATTGTGAGATGTGTGTCCCCAGAGGAAACTGTGTCAGCATCTGTTTGATCTGATAAGATTTAAGTTTTCAGTTTGTTCATCTGACTTGAGTTCAGTTTATTGCAGTAAAATATATCTGACTGACAAATATTGGATTTTATTACTCCACTCGCCTACCAAAAGTTTAATTTACATTTAAAATATTAATAATTTATGTAATAAAATAAGTCCATACTTTGTGTTCATGTATCGAGACAATATTGTGACACTATTCTGTACTGATTTTTTCGCCCACCTCTTTTTAAATCTTTGTAAAGTCTCTGTCTTTCGTGTGATGAGCTGCTGAGGATTGAGCTGCTGTAGAACAGAAATGCGACAACAGAAATTTTTATGTAATAAAAACTGTTGCTGTATTTGAGGTGAAGGCATTGGTACAAATATAAAAGTGTTTCAAGGTGTCTGCATCAGCAACGAGTTTTTGTTTATTTATTTAACCAGAAAAACCCCGTACTCGTACTCGTTGTACTCGTCGTCCTCCGCTTATCCGGGTCCGGGTCGCGGGGGCAGCAGCCTCAGCAGAGAAGCCCAGACAGTCCTCTCCCCAGCCACTTCCGTCAGCTCTTCCGAGGGAACCCCGAGGCATTCCCAGGCCAGCCGGGCGATGTAATCCCTCCAGCGTGTCCTGGGGCGGCCCAGAGGTCTCCTCCCGGTTGGACATGCCCGAAACACCTCCCAAGGGAGGTAAGCCTTCTCCAAATCCACAAAACACATGTGGACTGGTTGGGCAAACTCCCATGCCCCCTCCAGCACCCTGGCGAGGGTAAAGAGCTGGTCCACGGTTCCACGTCCAGGACGAAAACCACATTGCTCCTCCTCAATCTGAGGTTCAACTATCGACCGGACCCTCTTCTCCAGCACCCTGGAGTAGACCTTACCGGGTAGGCTGAGGAGTGTGATCCCCCTGTAGCTGGAACACACCCTCTGGCCAGCGGTGCCTGAAAAACCTCTTGAGACTAAAAACCTCTTTTTCAAGAGTGTCCTGACCGAGACAGGAGGCAACATACGTTACAGACAGACAACATGGAACAACAGTACAAGATAAAAATATACAGCTGTAATGCAAACAATGTAAAACCCACAAATGATCTCAATATATGCCACAAGTGAACCATTAAAATGCCAAAAGTTTTCAAAATCTGAAAATGCAGCACGGCTTCAAAACTTGAATAATAGTGATTTCTAAAGATTCCTTTAAGTTCGGCAGCGTACTGAGCAATTAATGAAGATAAATAAATAAACGTATGTGGATGATATGATATTAAAGTCTTCATAGAGGCTTATGATTTAAACCCAAATCAGAAAAACGTCTCCAGACTGTATAGGGGTGTGCAACCAGCAAAATGTAACTCAGTGTATATGAAACAAAAATGGTAAGAGGAAGTTAACGAAAGTATAACAGAGGAGGAACAGGAGGAGTTGTGTGAACTACAGAGGAAAATTACAGGTTCAGCATCATGGAGAGTTTTGTTCATCAGGTTCTTCATTCCTCCTCTTCAGCACAGTCTCTCGAGACAACATGACAGTCATTGTCACACACTCTGGTCTTGTCCATCATTAATCCCTTTCTGGCAGGACGTTCATACAGTTTTGTAAAAAGTATTTCAGATGGACATTTAAACTAGAGACCTATATCTGGGGACCCTGCCTTTGGACAATGTTACCACTCAAGAGAGACATTTAGTTTTGATTCTTAGTGCAGCCAGCAGGAAAGGCATCACTGGAAGGTGACTAAAACCAGCAACACCTACAGCTGATGATTGGACTGACATTATTATATATGATGTCTTTAGGATGGAGAGGATTACTTTATCTATTAGACTGCAACAAGATAGTTTTTTGGAAAGATGGAAGAATGGATGGAGCATGTTCCACCTGAACGTTCTGTGCGTTTGTTTAAGATGAATTTGTGTCACCTTGTGTTAATTTTATTTTATTCATTTATTTGTTTTTGTTGCTTTTGTTGCTTACAGTGATTAAACTATAGCAAAGACACACCTCAGCATTCTGCTTCCATATGTTAAGTTCGGTTTCTTTTTTGTTTTAGTTTTTCCGTGTTCACCTGTATTCACATTTACTTTATTGGTCCATTTTGGCTTCTGTACAACAAACTGTAACTCAGTTTTTAATGTTACCTTCTGCTGTAAATGTGTCCTACAGAAGGCCTGGAGAGATAAGGCTATTAAGTCCTTTGAGTGTGATGAAGTCGTCCTTTGGACCTTGAAATAACTCAATAAAAGGAGAATTAAAGAGAAAAAAAACAGGGGCAACTCCACATGATCACAGAGAGCAGCTGAAACACACCCTGACAGCAGCATATAGATGATTAGGTATGAAAATCCTGCAGCAGAGCTTTGAAACAACTGAGAGGAGCCAATGAGAGCAACTTTAAGTCCTTGTGCTCGTTTGCCAAACTGCGTATGTTCCCGTTTAGTCGTCACTGTGACAACATGAACACAAGGATCGAGCCTTCATGTCAGTGTTGAGGTGAAGTTTAGTGACGGTGGAAATGATCAGTGATCTTTGCTTCCCTCCCGCTCAGATGGAAAGGTGCTTCCAGGAGATCTGACCCACTATGTGTTCCCTGACGTCGGCGTGGTGGTGGACTATCTGGAGATCCTGGAGTTCAGAGAGCTGCAGGGCCTCGTCTTCACACAGACCGCCTGCCAGGCCGTGCAGCACAGCAAAGGACGCAGGTACGCTCACAGTGACACGCTGAACAGGTGCACAGCGTGTCGTTTAATAACCGAGGCTCATTCATGTGTGGAGGAAGTGGTCATGAACAGGCGTGGCGCTGGTCACTGCAGCAGGTTTATTATTCCACCAGCGAATACAGAAATTTGAGCTGCAGGCACCCTGAAGGCAACAGGACGGCTCCTTTGGTCGAGACCTTTTAATTCCTGAGGCTGCGTTTGAATTAAGCCTCTAATGACGACCTTCCTGCACAAGTGTGTGAGGAGTGTGTCGGGGTCAGCCTCATTATATCAAAGCTGTGCTGACGAAGCTGAAACCAGAGGCAGCCTGCCACTTGAAAAAACCTCTTCCACACGAACACGCAGGAGACTTTTGACAAACGTGATGAGGACCGTAAATAAGGAGTCCCACGTGGCCGCTGCTTTTCTGTTTGATTTGTGCTTACGCTGCCATTCCAAAATGTTGCATCATTAATATGATGAGGCTTCACTTTTGATAACGTCAGGTAGACTCAGCTGGTGGAGCAGATTCTGATGCCATACTGTGTCAGTAATTGCAGGTTTCCGTTCACCTCAACACTCAGAGCCCACAGGAAGGAGGAGCTCAGTGTGTGTGTGTGTGTGTGTGTGTGTGTGTGTGTGTGTGTGTGTTTACACTGGATGACCTTTTAGTTTCTTCATAACTTGCCTATAAATAAAGGAAGCTACAGTAAAGTGCATTATAGGCTTATCTGCTGTATTAAAGAAATAACTGTGATGCAGCTGCTCCTCAGTTCACATTCTGCTGCTCATGTTTCCTCTCCTGAAGAATAACTGTGCAGACGGGCTGCATTAAAGGAAGTGTTCGACATACTTTCAGTCCTCTCAGAATCCCAAAGTGCACGACCACATGCCGAAGCATCATTTCTGGGTGTGCAGAGCTCATGCCAGTTTGTCCGTTCATCTGACCGTACGAATGTCAGTCCCATGTGAATCTCAAGAATGCCTCAAGGAAATTTCTTCAAACGTAGCACAAATGTCCACTTGGACTCAACAATGAGAAGATTAGTTTGCGATAGTCAAAGGTCAAGGTCTGTGTGACCTCATCTGTATTGTTCTTGTGAACACGATATCTCAAGAATTTCCTGATGGAATTTCTTTATTTGTATTGTATTTGACACAAACGTCCAGTTACTTCCTCAAGCGAGGGAATACAAGTGTCTCCGGGTCTTGTTCAAGAGAGAGGGTAGAATGGAGCGTGATGGGCAGTCGTGGGGCTGGTGGGCGGAGTCATACAACCGTGGGGTGATAATTATAGTTTTAACATGTTCAGGATCCAGGGATAATTTCAGCAAATATGACAAACAGTTATTTTTATTATCTTCTGAAGCTTAAAGAGCATCTGTTCCGTTGTTGGTGTGTGTCTTTGCAGGCAGTACAACCGTCTGCGAAACCTGCTCAAAGACCCTCGACATGACTGCGTGCTGTTTGCCAACGAGTTCCAGGAGTATTCCTACTGTCCACGAGAGAAGGGGGAGAGCCAGGACAGGTGGCACACCAGGTCAGTGACCTTCCAACACCATCACAGGTACAGTAAGGTACAGTCAGTCAGACGCAGCAGCTCAGGGTGAAGCTGAGAGTAGCGTGAGTCATGGAGGTACCCAGAGAACACAGAGAGAAGAGAAGCAGTGACATGATGTGGTGTGTAGTCAGGGGTCCTGATCAAGCTTCTTTGCCCCAGATCCTTTTTTTGTGTACCTGCAGAGTCCAGTCTGACACTTACATTCACATAAATGTTGATTAATTATGTATCAGACACATTTAAATAACAACTGTAGACTATAAAATGGCATGACATCAGCAGTCAAATTCTAGATTGCAGCGCTCACTCACTCACCCCTCCCGTCGGGTAAGTGACGGTGGCCTCGTAGGACAAAAAGCCTTGCGCAGACAGCAGAATTTTTCGAGTTTTTCAGGAGTATCTAGCGATGAGGTGAATATTTATTTAGGAATCTAAACCATGTTACGATATGTTATAGCTTACCAGTGAGATACAGGTTATCTGTGAGATATATGTTAGGAGTGTTTTATTTCTAATTGTTTTGGTAACATGAGCAAACATTAGCACAGTAACACTAAAATAACACGTTTTATGTGATCGTCACGGCACAGTGCGGCAAACATAGGTTGGTATGATTATAATATATGCATTTCCAGAGTGTTCTTCCACAGGACACAGGGAGATGAGGAAGAGGGAGAGGGAGAGGAGGAAGACCAGGGAGAGGAAGGGGGCGAGGGGGTAGAGGCGGTGCAGGAACCCAGAGGGAAGAGGAGGAGGAGAGGGTGGCAGCCTTCGCAGCAGCGCCAGACCTATCAACAGATTAGGCTGTAGGCTAGGCTAACCATTTAGCTGTAGCTCTGGGATAACGTTAGCCAAGGCTAGGATAACGTTAGCACGTAAACGTAGCCGTCACTCGAACTTAGACGAGAGGGAAAAGTAGTTGCAAACATGAAGCCAAAATGATTTTAAAACATCAGATTGAATTACCTGTCTAGCAGAAAGCAGGCAACCTCCTCATCCCTTGTGAAATCCTCCTCCTTCATGAGTTCTTTCCACCTGGAATAAGCAACGCTTATATTCACTCGTGTTTTGTCCCGTCCTCGCTTATCTGATCTTTTTCTTTTATTTGGTGGCGTGGTTTCCCTCTTATGGGGCAAAACATATGTGTGCTCCTCCATTTAAAGTGCGACAGAATCATAAAAGTACAAAGCAGGTTCACGCAGAAGCGCCCCGGATTGATCTTCACCTTAACCGTCTCCAGTGACGGCAAGTTCTATGTAAATGCAAAAGGCGACGCATGTATATCCCTTTCGGCCACTGTATTCAAATATGGCGACGCAAGAGGGCAGCCTCCAGCAGACCGCGCCCTGCCTGTGTATATATAGAGAAATCATTCTAAGCCTATGAGAAAGCTTCCATTTGTATGTGAATTGCATTACATTTTAGTAAATATATATTTATGGAAGCAATAGTTGATATTTGCTAATAAACAACCACGTAAATTACACATTGTAACTTTAAGATGTGAGAAATGTCTGCTGAAGACTTTTGTCATGTGTAAATCAGTTGCTAGGAAACATCTGTAGCTCTGTTAAATCAAGTGTGTAAACTTAATTAAAAGTAGGTGTGTGTTTAATTTCTCTGCAGACATGGAGGAACACTGCATGTGTGTCAGAGTTAGTGTTTAAACTATTTACAATCAGAGGGATTTATACAACAATGCTGATGTAACTGATGTGATTCACTCAGTTTGTAATTTGAGGTGTGTCGTGTTTTTTCTGTGAAATGCAATTTCCAATCTGACGGCCCACACACACCAAACCCACTTCAGAGAACTGGCAGCAACAAAAGCCCCCTGCTGCGTCACTTGACGTCGCCTCAGCCAAAAAGTTGCGCACAAAAACACAGGAAGAGCGTCTTGAAGCAAGTTAGCCAGTTAGCACATTAACAACCCAATCAGAGCATATATACGGTGCACCAGTGAACAGTAACACAAAACATCAGGAAACATTTCTGATAAAGAGAAAAATAATCTGACCTGATGGAACAAGTTGGTTTTGGTCTCACTCCCTCTGGACTTCAGCTCTTTGTTTACTTTCCTCATTTCCTGACGGCTGACCGTCAGCTTGATGTCTCAGGGCCTTTAAAGGAACAGCGTGTTAGATTTAGGTGGACTTGGTGGTGTCCAGTGGTGAAGACTGCAGATTACAACCAGCTGAAACTTCTCCTGGTTTGAATTCCTCCAGTGTTCATTGTTCAGGAGGTTTTAAATCATCCACAGAGGTCTCGTCCTCTCAGAAACAAACACATCAGCTGATTTAAAGGGTAAAAACACTGAATAAAGACGTTTCACGTAAAAAAAAATCTGTGCTTTTCCCACTCTTTCATCACGGAGAGGCTGCTAATAACGGTAACCAATGCTTAAATACAAAATCACAAATGTCCCCATCAAGACAGTGTTTGGTTTGTCCGCTCTGGGCTACTGTAGAAACATGGCGGTGCAACATGTTGATCTCTGTAGACGAGGACCTGCTCCCTGTGTAGATATAAACGTCTCATTCTGAGGTAACAAGAACACAATTATTGTCACTGTCAGCTGATTACACACTGATTAGATTATATTCCATTTCCTGCCTTCCGACACACTGGAGCTTTAAAGACTGACATAATTATTAAACAGCATTTATGAAATTTGAGGTCAGATGTGTCGACCACTCATTAACACAAATATCTTGTATGTTTAATTCGTACAGTAACTGTATAAATAGTGTGAACACATCACTTGTGTTTCAGACTGTTTCTTGGCTGAACCGACGACTACCTGAGAAACAAAGTGACTTTCCCAGAGTGTTGACTCTCAGTGTCCCTGAACTCTGTGAGAAGTGAGGACTGTAAAAGTGTTGAGGTGTTCAGGTTCCTCTGGGTCTGTCAGCAGATTTCAGATGAAAGTTTAAAAATGCACTTTAGTAATGTATAAACCCCGAATTCACTTCAACTTCAGCTCAACTTGGTCAACAGGCTGCTGGTGCAGAACCATATGTTACTGTGGGCCCTCAGCTGTCTGTCACAGGGGTCTGCTCAGTGACTCAGCTCCAGCGAGACTGCTTCCTCCATTCAACAGGAAAACAGGTCGAACATCATAGAGAGCACTTGAGACTTTATTACAGACGTCACAGAGGCCAATCAGTGAAATAATGTGCAGTGTAGTCGGGGGTCCCCAACATGTTCTTTGTCTAAGATCCTTTGTAATAGTGGGCGTCTGCACACTGAGTCCAGTCTGACTCACAAATATTACAAAAGCATCGGTTAAATATGTATCTGACACATTTGTCACAGGGTCTGCTCAGTGACTCTTTCTAAAGATGCATTTCCTCCATTCAGCAGGAAAACAGGTCGAACATCATAGAGAGCACTTGAGACTTTATTACAGACGTTTATTATACACTTCATTAATTAGACTTATTTCTTAAGTGCATCAGGATGTGGTGAACAGTGGAGGAAATCTCTCCTGCAGGTTTGAACACTGGTCAATGGTCTGTTTGACAGAAGGCTCAGAGGATCAAATGGGTGCCTCTACAGTATGACGTTTATACTGTCTCAGAAACTATCACAGAATTTATCTTATGAGCTTTAAAGGAATGAAAACAGAAGGTTATTGTTGGTTGAACAAACGTTCTGTCACTATAATTCACACTTGAAAACATTTTGTTGATGGATGTTTGTGTAAAAAGTCTCCTCTTTGAAACTAACTCAAATAAAAGAGAGAGTCTCCGTCTATACCTTGAAACCAGAATGATATTATTAAAATGTCTGACAAAAAGGTTGATGAAATGTCAGAATTTTTTTTTTTTTTTTACAAAACTGTCCAAAAATATTACTAAAATGTCAGAAAGAAATGGTAATAAAATGTCTAAAAAATATTAAGAAAATGTCAGAAAAAATGTTGATAAAATGCTTCAAAAAGTATTATTAAAATAAAAAACATAAAGGCTGTCGTATATCACATGACCATGACAACAGCCATCCTTGAACCTGTGTCACTGTGTGATGTAGGACCACTGTTTTAAAGCCATGACCAGAGATATCGCCACATTTCTTTACTGTTGGTCATCTTCCACCAGGGACAGCCTAAAATCACACAGTGTAGACGGGCTTCAGTAAAATCTCTGCTCAGCACCAGGATTTTTGAGATGCTGCAGCTCTGGTGATGACGTGTGTGTGTGTGTGTGTGTGTGTGTGCGCGCTCCAGTGTTAAACAAAGTTTGTGTTGCCTCCAAACTTTTTGAGTTGACTTTAAAGGCTGCAGGAACAATCTGCTGTCATGAAGTGAGTTTAGTGCAGACACAGGACAGTAAACAGAGCAGTAAATGGTGTGTGTGTGTGTGTGTGTTCACGTACAGGTACAGATCATTTATATGCTAATAGTAACTAAACACAGAATATCAAAGTTTAGGGCTTTAACAGGCAAGCTGTCTGCATGCATCTTCTGATGTGTGTGTGTGTGTGTAGGTGTGTGTACTCTGCAGCAGTGTGGTACTATCACCACCTGGCAGGTCTGATGGACGTGGTGATGATCACAGAGGACCAGCAGGCCGTGGATCAGTACAGCAGCCTCAACTCTGGAGTATACGTCATCTCCGTCCAGGTACGTGACCGACACATCGCCACTCACACGTATGTGTACGTATGTGGACAGTGAGACGTTTAGATGTTGTAGGATGTGAACTGACAAACAGCTGTGAGGTTAAAGCTCCAGCGTTCAGGCCTGTCATTGTCCTGCTGCATTGTTCAGAGGGGGCGACGAGTCCTACGCTGTTCGCCCACTGATGATGTGAACACCCTCACACTCCCGTTGATCCTACAGTCAGCTCTTTAACATCAGCTGGGGTTTATTTTGAATCCATTGTGTTGGAGTGCAGAGCGGACACAACAGAAAACTCCACCATAGATCCCAGTGGATCCAACTGGTCCAACCACAGGGTCCAGATTTCTCCTCAGTCAGTAGTTTGAGGTCCAAACAGTTTAATACATTCAGCATCATACTTGGAATTGGACATGTCCTTGAGCTAGTTTGCTGTCTCTGTTAAGTAGCTGTCCGTTAGTCTCTCACTCTACAGCAGGAAACAGCACTTCAAAATAAAAGCTCTTCACTCTACTTAAAAATAAAGTGTGTTTTTGCGAGTCACTTGCGGTCCAATCAGGAGGGACCCACGACCCACTTTTGGACCATGACCCACCAGTTTGGATTTAGGAGCTATTCTTGAGCCTTCAACCATATAATGATAATTATAATAAACTTATTTTTATAACACCTTTCATACAGGAAATGCAGCACAAAGTGCTTCACAGTAAGGGCAGTGTAAGAACTGAGTGCTTCACATGAAAACAGACATAATGAACATTACACAGACTTTAAATCATAAGATGAAATGAATCATAAAAAGACATAAAAATCACAAGATTGTAAAACTATAAATCATAAAATCAAGTAAGACACAACATTTTAAATGGCTGCAGCAGCGTGAAGCGTAAAAACAAAGAGTGTCAGAGCTGAATGAGGAGAGTCAGAGCGAGTTAAAGTCTAAAGTGAACAGATAAAAATATTCAGCGAGCAGCTTCTCTGATATCTGAAGGTCGTGTGTTCATAACTTTGGGGCGTCACTGACGGCGCTGCGTCCCTGATCTTCTTCCAATAACCCAGCAGCAGATGATCGCAGTGTTCTTGGAGACAAAGAGTTAACAATGGAGTTAGTGATGTAGCTCGGTCCCAGCCCATGGAGGGCTTTGTATACAAGGAGGAGGAGGAGGAGGGGCTTAACATCAACTGTAAATGTAACAGGAAGTCAGTGCAGAGCAGCTCAGACTGGCCTGATGTGCTCTCTCCTCTTGGTTCTGGTTCATAGTCGAGCTGCAGAGTTTCAACCAGCTCAAGTCTGTCAGTAAAAAGTTTGTTACAGTCATCGAGTCAGCTTCAGATAAAGACATGAATCAGTTTCTCTGCATCTTTTTCATTGAGAACTGGTCGTACCTGAGTGATGTTTCTGTTTCTGAGGTGGAAACATGATGCTGTTGTCACCTTGTTCATGTGGGACTTGAAGCTTAGATCTGAATCAAGGATCACACCACGACTCGTCACCTCAGATTTAATCCAAGGATTTAAATTCTTCAGATTATTAAACAGCATTTCTCTTTTTGTTTTAGCAGGATTTCAGCTTTGTCTTCATTTATCTTTAAAAACTATCATGACTCATCCATTTACTCACTGACAAAAGACAGGCAGTGATGGAGTTCATGGTTGCATTGTTTGGTTCATCAGAGACACACAGTTGTGTGTCATCCACTTAACTATGGAAACAGACTTTGTGTTCTCCAATGACGTCACCAAGTGTCAGCAGGTACAGTGAGAATATCAATGGACCAAGGCAGCTCGCTTTAAGTGATGTTCCTCAGTAGGTGGAGTGTGTCCAGTTGTCATGGTGTTGTAGATTTCCTGAACGCTCCTCTGTCTGAACCTCTCAGTGATCAGGAAGCCGCCATGATCACAGAGGACCGCTCGCAGCCTTCCACCACTCCGTCCAGGTACTGCCACCAGGCAGACGCTACAAATTTCCACTGGCCTGCAAAGTAGACACTGACCTTTAACCTGCTTTAGTCAGTTTTAACGGTCTCCTTTAAATGTGAATCATGTGGGTTGTTGAGCCTTGTCAAAGGAGAGTTCCTGTCACTGTTGGGACAGACAATAAAGTGTATCTGTGTAACACAGAGAGGAGGAGGTGTGTGAGTCAACAGGCCGACAGACTGAGGTCCACAGAGACCGTCAAACATCTGCATCAATAATCTGTTTAATTAGCTCATCAATCCTGAACCTCATTAAGACACCAGCACATCATGGACTGCTCACAGAGCTGCAGTGATTCAGTGGTGTCTCATTGTGTTGCTCTGCCACGCTCCGTGTATGATCCGTCCACGTCGCTCCACTGAGCTGCTGGACAGCTAATATGCTGTCGGAGAAGTGAAGGAACAAACTGTCAGGAGACATCAGCGCTCACTGCGCAGGTTACAGGTTGTGATGAGGTGGTTTGTGTTCGACCAACAGTTGTTTCAGCACGAGAAGCTGCGAGGTGAAGTCTGAGAAAGGAGCAGTGATTTATTTGTCTACCTGTTAACACGTGTCAGGTCGTCATGGAGATCAGTGTTTGATGTTGGACAGTCAGCTGATGTGTGGAAGGCTGACGGTGCTCTCAGAGAGGATGAGAGAAACTTGTTTCTCTGTGTAGCAGGTGTGAAATCATGGATGTATGAAGAAACCTGGATACAGCGCCAGGGGCGGGGCCTCATTCATTCCTATGAAAGTTGCTCAGTGGCGCATGAAGCCAAGAAAAGTTCAACTTCCCAGGTAGAAAATTACCTGAATCTTCTGCATTGTTGGGCTCATAGAGCAGGTGTAGCAGAGACTTCCACCAGCTGAGCAGCTACTTCCTGTTAGCGCTTCGGTAACGTGAGTGGGGATTAATGACTGAATCATGCGACTTGTCTGGACTCACCAAATGTTACTGGACCAAATGGATCAAATTGTAATAATGAAACACATTTTGTGGGGGTTGTGATGCCCAAAGATTGTCTCCACAGACAGGGACACAAAACATGTGCATCAACCCTCAGTAAAACACCTTAAAGTAGCAGAAGATTTTTGATGAAATAAAAGTCATTTTCATCAGAAACTGACGGAGAGAAAGACACAAATTGTTGCATAAAAATTCACCAGCAGGCAGCAAATTAAATGTTTGATGCTCAGAATGTCCTAAAGAAGGATCCTAACCCGCCTCTTTCATATGTGCCCCCAATGTTGTAAGGAAACCAAGGTTCTTTCTTTATTTATAATAATGTAATTTATTGTGCTGTTAGAGCGTCCTGTTATTACAGGTGCTGCCTCCCTCTGTGTGCAGCCAGCAGGAGAACAAACTGTTTTATGACCACAGTGAAAATGATGTTTTTCAAAGGATAAACACCAACAAATATTTCGTTAGATTAAAACATGTGAATTTCGAAAATTACATCTTTCTGTGCCTCCCACAAGTCAGAAAATATCCTTCGCCGCAACCTCTGACTCTGATTCTACAGATATTATAATACTAATCATTTTAGTGCAGCCTAATTTTTATCTGTAAGTGTGCAGATATACCAACTTTACAAATAATAAATAGACATGCAACGTTGACATTTAAATGCTGATTTAGAATTTAAATATCTATAAACAATTCAGTACAGTCCCATCATCACCTAACAGCTCAGACCCTGACCCATGATTACAGTTATTATTTATCTCTCCCTGACATGTCCTCTCTGCTGTGTGTGTCTCTGTCTGACAGGATTATTTGCAGAACTTCTGGCCGGAGCTGCAGGCGGCACATGATCTGTACGGCTCCATTTCCCAGGTGCTACAAGAGAAGGAGAGCGAAGGCACAGAGAGGGAGTACACCGAACATCTGCCCGCTGAGGTGCTGGAGGCCGGAATCAAGTCTGGCCGCTACATCCAGGTACAGCTCACCTGCCGGGTTCATGTGCAGTGAGTCTCTCCTCAGAGCAGCCGTCAACAAAAACAAAACACTTCCTGAAATGTTCTGTAAAAACACAAACTGTGCCTGGCTTCACCTCACAGACAGCCCCCAGCCTCAGAGACACTGCAGTGATTCAACATGTGTTTTCAGTGGTAGGGAACATGTTGGGGTCAAGGATGGAGTCAAAGAAAAGAGGAATGTTTCACATATTGTGAAGCACTTGAGCTGATCAAGGACAGTCCCAGTGCTGCGGGCACGCTCAGTAATGCACCTCAAGAAGTTGTGAAGAGAGCTGAGTAAATCTGAACCTCCCGAACAGACGAGTGAATACACAGCCGGATTGTTTATGTGTCTTTCTGCTCTCTCCTTCAGGGAACTCTGAACATCAGTAAGCACCGAGCTCACAGCGAAGCTACGGTCATGACGGAGGGTTTGTCCACTAAGAACACAGGTACACACTGCAGGAAGCACACACACCAGGCTCAGAGACATTTATCTGTCACTCACTGCAAACGTCTCCGCTGATCTGTTGACCACACTTCTTTTTTTCTTCAGATCTGAGTTTGGGCGTGTTGGTGTGTGGAGGAAAGAATCGTAACAGAGCCGTGCACGGTGACGTGGTCGTGGTGGAGCTGTTGCGAAAGAGCGAGTGGAGAGCGAAGGACGAGGCGCTGACGGAGGGTCAGGCGGAGGAGAAGAGCGGAGAGGAGAGCGACAGTAAACCCATGCCAACAGGTGGGACCGTCTGCAGAGACTGAACTCAGTAACTCTGCTGCTGTTTTCTGTCCAGACATCTCGAAAACTCGGGGACAGAGTTCTCTCAAGTTTAGAGGAAGTTAATCTGGGAGCCGAGGAGGAAAGATGGAGGTTTTTAGTCGATCATTTTGCCATAAAAAACACTGCGTTCATCCAGTTTTCACCTGCTGTGATAAAAAAAACATCTTTGAATGGACCCTGGGAAAATTATTTTCAAGGTTTCTTTTGGCGCATTTTAGCCTTCAATTGACAGGACAGACAAGCATGAAAGCGGGAGAGAGAGAGGGGGAGTGACATGCAGGAAATGGCTACAGGCTGGAGTCGAACCCAGGCCCCTGCGGCAACAGCCTTGTACACGGGGCGTCTGCTCTATCCACTAAGCCACCGACGCTCCATTTTTAAGGTTTTCTTTAGTACAAATTATATTTGCATTCAGTGTTTTCACCCAAAAGCAACATGCGCTTCATTTACAACCTCATTTACACCCAGATTTCTTCCTAACTGCAAATTATGTTGTATTACTAAACCATCAGCAGGATCAGGATCCAGGATATCTGCAGGTCTTAAATTAACTGAAATAAATATTTGGCTTTTAAGTCAGGAAGGTAATGCTAGACATTTTGTTTTGAACTTGGAGAAACCACCTGTTAATGTTAGTTATTTAAATTGTTCCTGTTTGATGTGTTTATTGCAAACAGCTGGAAATAAACCAACAAACCTAATTTGCAATGTGGGTTGAATAATTTAGTTTGCAACTGTACACGTATATTTCTTTAACTGATTAGATTCATTTATCACAACAGTTTTATATACAAGATAATTTTGGGAAGAATCTCACACTAAGAAATTAAAATTTTGACAAATGGTTGCAAAACACTAAAGTTCTTCAACGCTAGGACACACAATAACTGACGTGTGATATTAAAACCTGCAGGCCGTGTTGTGGGGATCCTGCAGAGGAACTGGAGGGACTATGTGGTGACGTTTCCTCCCAGGGAGGGGCCTCCGTCCCAGAGCAGGAACTCTCAGCGCATCCTGGCTGTTCCCTGGGACCATCGCATCCCCAAGATCCGCATCAGCACGCAGCAGGCTGACGCTCTGCAGGTACGACTCGCCGTAACTGACTCAGTCAGAAACTCACATGATTTAAACACTAATGTGACTGATGATCAGCTGTTTTTCTGTCTTTAATTATTTCAGTATTTCTTTGAACCTTTAAAAAACACCTGTCTCTGTCTCCTCTCCCTCAGGACCACAGGGTGGTGGTTCGCATTGATTCATGGGAAAGCACGTCGCTCTATCCCAACGGCCACAGCGTGCGGGTGCTGGGTCGGGCCGGAGAGCTCGAGACGGAGGTCCAGACCATCCTCATCGAGAACTGCATCCACGTGCCTCCATTCTCAGACGCACAGGTCAGACAGGAAGTTACACTCACACACACACTCACTGAATTTAAAGTTTTGTTTTTTGACACTTTGAGGCAGAAAAACCTGCAACAAGCTGATTAATACAACAACGACTGTTTGATCAATATTTTTGGTCTCCAACTGTTTGAAAAGCTTCAGCTGCTGCGTGTTCAGTTTTCTTTGGTCTCTGAGACACTGAATGATCTAAAGTCTGTGGTCGGCAGGTAACCAGCCAGAGGGTTTATGAGGATGAAGAGGCCTTCGTCCTGTCTGTGAGACCTCAGGGACACACTGTGTTCTGCTGAGAGACACTTAGTGTTCATATAAATATGTTTATAAAAGAAAACTTCCAATAATACTGAACCTTTGAAAAAGACGGTCAGAGGCCGCGGTTCTGAACTCTCAAGAGTCTCTTTGATACAGTGTACAGGTGCTTGTGTTCTGGGTAAAGAACTCTTACCTGACGAGGACACCATGATGAATAGATGCAATGTTCAGTGTGTAGTAACAGACTGGTGCAACAGCCTCAAAGCTGCATGTGTCTTGTTCCCTTTTCAGTTCATACAGAACCAATCAGCTGTCGGTCTGATGACGATCAGGCGCCTGGGGTCAGAAGTTCAAGTCAAGTCAACTTTATTTATATAGAACTTTAAGCACAAACAGAGTCGATCCATAGTGCTCCTACAGCACACACACAGAGAAAAGCAAAAACAAAAGGAAGCAGAGAAATCCCTCTGTAGTCCCTGTTTTTATACTGTCACCACTGTGTGACTATAACAGTGACAGTGACAGGACGAGTGAGTGAAAGTGTGTTTTAAGATGACTCTCAGTGGTGGAGCAGCATCAGACGGTGGGAGTGGAGTGGCAGAGATAAAGAAAGTCCTGTCCCTGTAACTCTTAGTCCTGGATCTCAGGACAGACACAAGTCTTTGGTCAGATGATCTCAGTCCTCTCACAGCATGATACAGGGAGAGAAGCTCTGTGATGTCAGAGGGGGTGAGACCGTTCAAGACTGGCTGCTTTCACACCTGCCCTGTTTGGTTCAGTTCAGTCTGACTCAGGTTGGTTTGCCCCCTCAGTGTGGTTCATTTGTGCAGGTGTGAACACACCAAAACAACCAGACTGAGACCTTTTTGAAGAGGTGGTCTCAGTCCGGCTCCAAAGGAACATGACACATTGTTTGGGTTAAACATGAGCATGTTACAGTCCTGGAGGATTATTAATGTGCACCTCCTCCTGTACTGCCTTAATATGCACATTCAGCACATCCAATGCATCAAAACATTGTTTTCTAGTTGGAGCCGCGCCTCGTTTTCAAACTGTATGCTTTGACTAAAATGAACAATGACAGCAATATAGTCCACGATGAGCAGCGCTAAAATCAACCTGCGTAGTTGTCCCTCCATTGTGACATTAGAAAGTGTCACATTTATCTTGCAAGTGTTTTTCATCAGCTGCTGCTGTGAGATTTATTCTGTGTCCGTCTGTCCGTCCTCAGCTGAGAGAGATGCCCGTCAACTCTCCAGAGAAGCCGTGGACGGTTGATCCCGTCCAGGTGGCAAAGCGGCGGGACCTCAGAAAGACTCACCTGGTGTTCAGCATCGACCCAAAGGGCTGCGAGGACGTAGACGACACGCTGTCAGTGCGCAGCCTCGCAGGCGGGAAGCTGCTGGAGCTCGGGGTCCACATCGCAGACGTCACACACTTCGTCACCGAGGGCTCGCTCACTGACCTGGAGGCTCGAACCAGGTGAGGGGTCCGTTTATAATATGAAGACAAGGTCACAACGCTGCATCAGTCACACACTCTTTGAGTTTCTGTGAGTTTGCAAAGTCTCTAAATCATGAAAACACACAGAGAGAAGAAACAGCAGCATCTCTGACGGTGAGAAGAGTTCAGCGTGCAGCTGAATCAGGAGTTTCTCAGAACGAAGACAGACTTTAAAATAAAAATGGAGTGAAGCCTTAAAAAGTTCAAACAGACCAAAAACAGGACGCCTATGTCTTCATGAGAGACAAGACATGAAACAAAGTGAAGACACTGTGGCGTCCAAACTTTGGGCTGTTTGCATAACTCAGGGCTGAAAATCAATCAGTGTGCTCCTCTTCACCCTGTGAACGTCTCAGCACTGTGTCGTAAATGGACTCTATTATTCTGTTCATCTTTTGAATATAGAACACACATTTGTCCTCAGCTGGGACACTAACGCTGCAGTCACATGGAATCAGGGAGACAGCAGATGGACACTTTCTGCACGGGAAAAACAAACAGTCCGACAGAAGCAGCCTGCAGCGTATTGATTCACTCAGTTCAGTCTCAGAGTCACGTAGCTGCTCCAGCCACAGCTACCTGCTCAGTGGACGGCAGAAGGTTCAAACAGTTTAACTTTGGACGGTGATGTCGTCTCTGTTCCTGCTGCTGCTATTCTCTCACTGCCTCATCTGATTTTACCGTCCTGCTCTCGTCCACTAAAATGATCTGAGGTTTGCTGTCGGCCTGGTTCCATGTGAACGCGGCGCTAAAATCAGCAGCAACCAGACAACATATCTTCAGCACAGGCTGGAGTCCATCAGCTCCTTGTTCGGTTCAAGATTCCTGGTTTCAGTAAAAGTCTGAATGTTTTTCTGCAGTTTATTTCTCATCTATAACTCCAACCCCTCTGAGCTCCACCAACCAGACGCTGTCAGAAGATCCAGAGACTGAGAGCTTCACGCTTTTATTGTCTCAGCAAAGTTTTGAAACTCGACCTCGCAGGCCGGCTCTTTTTAAAACATACATTTATTTTTAATTCAGTCATTTTGTGTCTTTTTATTTTGGTCCATGTCTGTGTTTGTCCTTCGTAGTTTATAGTGTAATGTTTAATGCACCTCGTCTCTCTGGCTTTCAAAGAAATAAAGTTGACTTCTTTTTATTTTATTATTTGATACTTCTCACTGTGAAGAACATTAATTTATGTATGCGTGAGAAAAGATGACTTATTTATTTCACAGCTTTATCAATAATTACTGATGAACAGTAGCCAGCTTTAGTCATAAAGAAAGTGATGATGATGAGGAGGTGGAAAAACCAAACTGAATATTGAGTCTCACATATGAGGAAATGTGTGTTTTCACAGTGTGTCTTTAAGATGCAAAGGTCGTCCCTCCTGACTACTTCTTCTTCTTGTGTGTCGTTCAAAGGGCTACGACGTACTACCTGGCAGACCGCCGGTACGACATGTTGCCCGCCGTTCTCAGCGCTGACCTCTGCTCTCTGCTGGGAGGAGTCGACAGGTCAGTGAACTCACCGTCTCTGCACTCTGAAGGTGTTCAGTTTATCACCACACATTAAAACACACCGTCTCTCAAACCCAGGTATGCGATGAGCGTGATGTGGGAGCTGGATGCACAAACCCTGGCCGTCAACAAGGTGTGGTACGGCCGCACGCTGATCCGCTCCTCCTACCAGCTCCACTACGAGCTGGCCCAGGCGCTCCTCAACGGGGAGCAGGCGGAGGTCCCGGAGCTGAAGGAGCTCAGCTCTGAGGAGAGGGACGCCAAGCTGGCCGAGCTCACTCAGGCTCTGGAGCTGCTGACACATGTGGCCAGACACCTGCGGGCGCAGAGGGACAGAGGAGGAGCGCTGGAGCTGGAGGGGGTGGAGGTATGACTGCTTCTCCTCCTTTTTATCCCTCTGTGGCCAGAGGTGTTGTGTTTTCAGGTTGCTCGGGTAAACACTGAAGACTTTTGGTTTTTGAGACGTTGAAATTAGTGACATTTGTTCTCTAGGAACTCTCCTTCTGTACCTGACAGCTCCAAACTTTTCCTACATAAACCTGATTGTTAGTGTTACATCAGTCTCTCTTTGGAGGCCTATAAGATGAACGGTAACACAGTTCAGCCCCGAGTTTATTTCACTAAGGCTGGTAAGAAGTGAAATACAAAAAGAAAAACACTGCCATCACCCAGTCACAGTAACATATGACGTATTAGCAGTGTTGAAGTTATATAACCAACAAGATTTCGGGTTATATTATCACATACACACATGATGTCTTCTGTATTCTCACATCCTTTGAATCAAGCCGTTCCTCCGTCCCTCCTCAGGTTCGAGCCCAGCTGGACGAGCAGAAGAACATCACAGCTCTGGTCCCCCGTCAGCCTCTGGAGGTCCATGAGACCGTGGCCGAGTGCATGATTTACGCCAACCACTGGGTGGCGCGCAAGATCCAGGAGAGCTTCCCTCATCAGGCCCTGCTGAGGCGCCACCCGCCGCCACGCCAGGAGTTCTTCAGCCAGCTGGTGGACTGCGCCATGGCCGCGGGGTTCACCATCGACACCAGGTGACTGATGAAAAACACTCAGCTCTCTGCTGGTGAAAATATACTGAGACCAAAACTGGAATTTTTGGATTTGATTACATAACAAACACTGTGAAGCGACAGAATGACATAAACCTCTTAAAAAACAACAACACAATAATGAAGCTTAAACTACGTCACACTGATTCACTCAGCGACACGACGGAGATGATTCGTCACTCTGTCTGTCTCCTGTGAGCGCACGTTTGTGGTGAAACGATTTTGTTCCTGCAGGACCAACAAGGCTCTGGCTGACTCTCTGGACCGAGCCGTGGACCCACAGGACCCGCTGGTGAACAGGCTGCTGAGGATGATGGCCACCACAGCCATGTCACAGGCTCAGTACTTCTCCACTGGTCTCCACTCCCAGGACCAGTGCTACCATTACGGTTTGTTGTGTCATGTTAACATCCTGTTCAACGGTGAGGATCAAAATGTTTGCAGGCGTTCGGTGCTGATGATCCTTCTGTCTCTCAGGTCTGGCTCTGGATCGCTACACTCACTTCACCTCACCCATCCGTCGCTATGCCGACATCGTGGTGCACCGCCTTCTAACCGCCGCCATCGACATGGACAGAGGGGCGGAGCCTGGGAAAGCTTTAGCCAGTAACAAAGAACTGGAGGAAATGGCTCTTCACATCAACAACAAGAACAGGGTCAGTGCTGCTTGGTGAATCATCTCTGTCCATATTAAATAAACTCTCTGACCTCTGTGTGACCTCTGACCTCTGTGTGACCTCTCCAGGCAGCCCAGCAGGCCCAGAAGTTGTCCACGGAGCTGTTTCAGTGTCTCTTCTTCAAAGAGAGAGACCCTCAGACGGATCCGTGCTGTGTGGCCAACGCCGTCATCTACTCCATCAGAGACAACGGCGTGCTTGTGTTCGTCCCAGAGTAAGAAACTAAGAAACTTCACGTCATCAGTGGTTGAATTTAAAAGTCTGAACAGAGACAGAAACATTGTGGTCATATCACTTTGTCACACCTGATGAAACTCGATCAGCTGACGGTGTAATAAACTCTTGGGCTCCATCAGTCGTGACTCAGCTGCTCTGTCTGCAGGTACGGCGTCAAAGGACCGGTGTACCTGAGGAACCGAGAGGGTCAGGTGGTGTCTGTGGGACAGGACGGCAGCTGCGAGTGGCAGAGCGGCTCCGTGCGACGCCACTCAGACCACATCACCACCACCTCCATCTGTGGCAGCTCCACCTTCACACTGTTCGACCACATCACTGTGAGTCACACATCTGTGTCGTCTTTATGTCCAATAATTTAACTGATAACATGGAGGACATTTTGTGACGTGAGTCCTCTTCACTCCGCAGGTTCGTATTTCCGTGCGCTCCACACACTGCCACGCAGACAGTCTGAACCTGGAGGTCATCAGCAACAAGCCCCACCTCAGCACGGAGCTTCAGCAGCCACGCTCACAGGGCCGCTCCCAGCTGGTGCAGGAGGTGGTGCGTCTGGCCGAGGAGGCGTCCCAGCAGGCGCAGGAGAAGGCGGCCCGCCAGCCTAAACTCTCCAGAGAGGAGCGAGAGTTCTGTCAGAGCAGGAGCCCCAACCTGTACTCCCTGCTGGAGGAGGTGAGGGAGCTGGCTCTGCTGGACCTGGAGGTGATGGCACGGCTCTGTGCAACCACCGCTTAGAGCCGCTGTGACATCATCACGGCTCAGCTGGACTCACAGGAGCCTGCTGAGGTTGAAATGTGGCTGCTGACAAGTCATCAGGACGGCCACAAGAACGAGACTTTTCTTTCACATAAATTCTTCAGCTGTTTGAAACATGACGCAGATCGTTTATTATCTGAATACTTTTTATCATTTAAAGGAAAAATACTTGATGATGAAAAGTGTCCTGAAGTCATGTGATGATATTAACTGAGAGCAGACATAATCTGAGTCAGTAGATATTTACATCAAGTTGGTCCAAAGATAAAAACCACAGACTTTGGACATTGTGTAACAGAGAGGAACTTCAAATATATAATTTCCTTCTGCTCTCAATCAAAACAGGAACAAAAGACAAAGCAGTGTCGTCACTGCAGTCAGTTTCTCCTGGTTAGGATTCCCTCATGGTTCAGTGTTCAGGAGGTTTCTACCAGGAGCTGAATTATCCACAGAGCTCTCCTCCTCTCCAGAACAAACAGACCAGCTGATTTACACCAGTAACACACTGAATAAAGACTTTTCATTTTAAAAATCAGTGTTTCTCCAACGCAGTTCTGCACATCAGGGGCTGGAGCCGAGCTGTCACTTAGGCGTGCTCACCTTTTTCTCTGATAACTAAAGATCCAGACACTCAGGAGCTTTTTACCAGGAGCTGAATTATCCAGAGCTCTCCTCCTCTCCAGAACAAACACACCAGCTGATTTAAACCAGTAAAACACTGAAGAATGCAGTTTCATATTAAAAGCCAGTATTTCTCCAACGCAGTCTGGCACAGCAGGGGCGAGGGCCGAGATGCCACTCATCTTTTCTCCTCTGACAACTTAAGATCCAGGTGTTCAGGAGGTTTTTACTGGGAACTGAATTTTCCACAGAGCTCTCCTCCTCTGCTAAGCTAATGGGAAAGTGATTAAAAACACTGAATAAAGACTTTTCATTTTAAAAATCAGTGTTTCTCAGATGCAGTTCAGCACATCAGGGGCTGGAGCCGAGCTGCTGCTGACGTTTGCTCAGCTTGTTTGAACTTCAGATCCAGATGTCTGATGTTTAAAAAAAACTTCATCCAGTTATAACCTTTAGTTAAAAACAACCAAGATCTAAATGTGTTTTTAAAAATGGATAAAAGTTAATGTATGGGGCACCCATTAGCTCAGCTGTTAGAGCCATGTACAAAGGCTGTGTAGGGTTCGACTCTGACCAACAGCCCTTTGCTGCATGTCATCCCTCCTCTCTCTCTATTTTGAAAAACTTATTCATAATAGCGTTCACAGACACCACGGCTCTGAGGCATGAGCAAAGGGGATATGATGGCGACCAAATAACAAACTGTGTCCTTGATTAACACGACAGACTCTCTGGGTTTGTTGGAGACATTTTGGACAATGTAAGAACTAAATATATAACACTGGTCTGATGTTTTTCAGACATGTTAAAGCAGAGCAGGTCCATATTATTTCTTTAACAGTGACGGCTCATGTTAGCAGACGTTTCCTGAAAACAGTTTGAACACTGAGACATTAGACAACGTGAAGCTGCTGATGTTTAACACTTTAATAACTACTGAGACGTATAAGCGTCATATATGCGTCAGAATTATGTTTCACATCAACAGTAATGAAGCTTCAAAATGATCTTCTGATTCATTCACATTTAAACCTGTTGATAGATTGACTGATGATCTGTGGGTGATTATTATTATTATTACACATATAACAGCCGTCGTCCCAGTTATATATCAATACCATAAAGTTAACACTGCGTATTAAAGTTTAAGTTGTTAGTTTACATGAAATTATTGCTGCAGTTAATTAAACAAACATTTAGAGACTCAGATGTTTCTCCAGAGATTTATTATTTGTCATGTGTGAGATGTTCCTGCAGCTCTCTCTCTCTCTCGCCTCCTCCTGTGATTAGTTTAATTTGTTTTACTAAAATACATTTTGATGTTTTGATGATGCTCAAAAAATCTATTAGTGAACTTTTTAGAGATGAACCAGTCAGCTGGACAACAGAAACTTTAATAAATAAGCTGTTTGAAGGAGAAATGTGTCGAAGTGTTCACAGAAATATAAAAGATATCAGAATATTATGAAAATAGAATATAAATAATTTGGAATTTTTTTAAAATGTTTTCCTGTGAGGTTAACTTAAAGGTTGTATCATAGACTTTCTTAAAAAAAAAAAAATCCTTTGTTTTCCTGCACAAAAACAAAAAACAAAATTGACTGACTTTAATTATCAGCATCGATAGATTTTCACAATCGATGCATCACCAAATTTTATAATTAATTTTTTTTCAGAGTAACAAACTGTTTCCAGCTCAGAGTAACGAGGTGATGAAACTGTGATACAGGTGAACACAAAGTTCTTCAGGTTAATGAGGACTCAGGTTTATTGACTGATGTAATTAATGTTTTCCTTGATGATGACTGATGGTTTATTATTAATATTATTAGCTTTTGCTTCTGTGTTAGAATCTATTTTTGTAACATGGCTGATTTTGTTTCTTTGTGGTTTGTAATTAAAACTGTGGATGAAAAATAAACTCTGGTGTCAGTTTAGACCTTTATGGCTCCTTTTATGTCTCCGGGGTGACGAGGTAATTTAAGTGTTAGGCCCCATCCTTGGGCCGTCCAAAAATAACCACATAAACACCAACTACAACACAATTAAAACAAGCAACAAAACAACAAAGCTCCAGGCTGAGGGGCAGCAGGACCAGCAGTCCACACACCAGAGGCACAGTAGCTCCTAAACACCTCCTTAATGACAGGTGAGCTGCACCTCGTTAACTAATGCAGCACACCTGGGCAGGTCTGCAGTGGAGGGAAAAGGGACAGCAGCACACAACACACACACACACCCTTAAAGCAATGAATAAATAGCTTGTCACATTGTCAATAACACACGTACCGAGGCAGTTAAAGGTTAACACATCACTGTTACAACAGCCCATAGTTCACTGACAAATGCTATTTATTCATTTAAAGTGTACTTAATGTGGAGACAAGTGCTGCTGACTCAAGCTGTATGTTAAAGCTAGACACAGCTGAACAAATCAAAACCAAGTTGCTGTGCAAAGTGCAAAAAACTAGCAACAAGTAGTTGAGGCACCCCGACCCTGACCTGCCCACCAAGACAGCTAACTAACCTAGCTAGTCTTCAGTGGCCTGCCGAGCTTGAGGCGGCTTTAAACGCTGAACTCAGTGCGTCGCAGAACTCCAAAGAAGGAGCCAGCTGTAACACACTGAAGCGTGCCCCCACTCAGGGTTACCACCAAAAATAAAAAAGGCAAAATAACAAAGTGGCAAGATCTTAAAACCTGCAGTCCTCACACCAGAGGCCTCTCTCCTCTGCTGCTGACACAGGAGCTCCTAAACACCTCCTTAATGCCAGGTGTGCTGCACCTCGTTAACTAATGTAGCACACCTGGGCAGGTCTGCAGTGGAGGGAAAAGGGACAGCAGCACAGAACACACAGCTGTAATATAAGGCTATATGAGGAGTCGTGCACAGAGGAGTGAAGAAACTAAAGCTTCAGTTTGTGAGAAATCATTTATTGTTTGATTTTATAAAAGTACTGACTAAGTTTCTTCAGCTGAAGCTCCAGAGAAGATGAAAGGTTTTAACGTGGTCACGGTGACCTCAGAGGCTGCATCGATGACATCACTACATAAACAGGCCGAGGCTCTCTTCGACTCGTCTGCAGTTCCTGACATCACAGCTACTTGTTGCTCAAACTGTCACTGGATCCTGACTGCAGGACATCAAACGGATGATGAGGTTCGCTCCTGATGACATCTGCAGGAGTCCACCACACCTGAATATAACAACCAATCAGAGCCAAGAGGAGTCTCTGACACCAGTCTGAGCAGTAACAGCTGATAAGTGTGTAAATACAGTCGTAAAGCAGCAGCGCCGTTGTCTGAGTGAATGCTGCACGCATGAGAGCCACAGCAGCCCAGTGAAGAAGTCGTCACGCTCGGCTCACACAGGTAGTGTGGTCTGAGTGTGACACAGCCGTCAATCACTGCACGTGAGTTAACACGAGACCGTCTTCTTCTGTAAAGCTTTCTACCACTGGTCTTCTGTTTACTCGTCTGTCAAACAGTTTTATCATCGCTGGTGTTTTTTTCTGAGCAACTGTGTTTGTTGTGTTTGCAGAGCTCCTCCTCCTCCTCCGTTAGAGACTCCTTCTGAGCACTGATTGGTTGTTTTCATTCAGGTGTGGTGGAGTCATTAGGAGCAGGAGGAGGAGCCAGAGGAGCCTGATGCACTGCTGTCAGACAGTCAAACAAAATAAATGTAAATACTTGGAAAAATCTGAAAAGGAAAAATTCAGTTCCAGTTCAACAACAAACACGACGACAGATGAAGGAGCAGCGCTTAATGATAAACATCAGACAGGAACGAGGAGAACTGTGTTCTGAATCTGAATTAAGTTCCTCTTTACAGGCTACAAGGAGACGATTTAACTTTAGTTCTTGTCCAAAGAAAACTCTGTCTGTACAGTTTTCAGCTCTTGATTTCAGAGTGTGTGTTGCACCTGAGCATTACTCTCCTTCCTCACACTCATTGCTGGGTTTATTGTTGGTGCTGAGGGCAGTTTCTTCTTCTTCCTCAGCCTGAGCAGGTTCAACAGCCTCAGAGTGTGTCTGTGGGAGCTCAATGGGTTGTTTGACGGTGCTGAGGTTGGTTTCTTCTTCTTCCTCAACCTGAGCAGATTCAGCAGCAGCCTCAGAGTGTGTGTGTGGAGGCTGGCTGTGCTGCTGTGTGCTGCTGCTGACTGGCTCCAGGTCTAAACCCTCCTCATCCTGATCTTTAGAATCACTGAGGACGTTTGCAGAGGAGACAGACGTGGGTTTATCTACTGACAAGTCAACAGTCTGAGAGTCAGTGGGATCTGGAGGGCGACAGGAGGAGTGAAGCACAGAGACGTCATTACAGTCAAACGTCAGTTTTCAGGAACACAGACTGAACTCTGTTCAGTTTAACTTATGTTCTCGTTCTTGTTCTTGTCCGTCACTGAGCTGATGAACTTCCTCTCACCTGTGTGCTGCTGCTGGCGGGCGAGCCTCCTCTCCAGGGCGCGCTGTCTGTTCAGCTCCATGCGTTTACTCTGCTCCTCGGTCAAGGAGGGGGCAGCTGGAGAGGGAGTGGGTGGAGCAGGTGGAGCAGCTGGAGCCGGGGTGGAGTGGATCGGCGCTTGCAGGTTATTAAAGCTTGCTTCATTAAACGGATCTGGATCCCCAAAGTCATGTGATTCAGGAGGTGCTTCTTCTTCACCTGAACCAAGACACATTTCCACAGAGGGGTTGATTTAGTGTGAATTTTAAAGTAAAGTTAGCAGTTAGATTTAAGACTTTGTTAATACTTATGATAATAATCTAATACCCTTTAGTTTATACTGTTAATCTGCGTGGCAAAAGGCGCTCCGCCACATGGGAATAACTTATTATAACTGACTCTTCATTTGTTCATGAGGTCTGAGCTCAGAAGAGATTTAGGAAAGTTGTCAGTGCCAATACAGTATAAATATTTCATGTCTCAGATCGTTCTAGATTCAACTTATCTCCCTGTCTGTGTTTTTATCTCTCACCGCCCATAAAGTCTTCATGTGTCAGCGGCATGTCCAGTCGGATCCGTTTGAGACACGTCTGCCAAAGAGAAGAATCCAAATGATTACAATTAATCCTGCAACATTGCACTGAAATCTTCAGCAGCATCATCTTCATCTCACCTGCACTTCCTTCTTGGTGCCGAGCTTCTCCACTCTGTCAATGAAGTCTTCAAACTGCAGTTTGGGGTACAACCTGTGGGCCCAGTTCTCCATCTTCTGCATCAGCAGCTTCAGGTCTGAAGCCTGGTTTAATGAAAACACACACACACACACACACACACACACACCAGGAAAACGCCGGGTTAATGTGTGTGACATGATGAAGTACAGTGAATATGAACTGCTCCACAGTCATCTTGTGTTCAGCTTTGATCATGCGTCTGCTGTCAGCTCTCACCTCGTGTCCTTTGCCTTTGAAATGGACGTTATCAAACAGCGTCCTCAGAGCTGGAAGTCCTCTCTCTGAGATCAGCCTGAAGACAAAAGTCACAAACACTCTTCACGTCCACTGTTTATATAAAAAATATTGATTAGAACAGATTTATAAGGTTTAATGATATGACAGATGATAAAATTAGCTTTTCTGTAATTAGCTGTAATTGGTTCAAGACCTCCATGTATCTAATCCCTCCTAACATCAGCTGACGACACAGAGTATTCAGATTTTATCATTCTCTGCCCTGATGATGTCTGAGGTACCTCTGAGAGTCCAGTTTGGGCTGCGGCCTCTTCACTCCTTTCCTCTTAGCAGCAGGAACGTCAGCCAGCTTGGACACATCGCCGTCGTTGTCCCCTGCATTGACCACAGCACAGGACAACAGGACAGGTGGTCAACATCGACAGAAAACCTTCAGCGTGGTTACCATTTGTAGGTGTTTGTTATGTCACTCCTCTTTAATGACCTTACCATGACCCCATAATTATTTCCTGTTTCTAGATATAAACTGTCTTAAAGTGCTGAATGTTCTCTTGACTGACGCAGCTTCTCACCATCTGCAAAAGGGTCTCCGTCCTCCTGTCCTCCCTGTCCCGGGGAGTGAGGCGGTGGGAGGGGAGGGAAAGCTTCATCCTCGAAGCTGTTGTCGTCAGGAATGTCCAACAGGCCGTCCTCCATGGTGTGTAAGTCCTGGAGGAAAGACAGAGCCTGGATCATCCACAATCAGCTTTAAAGGCAATAACAGTGTCATGTTCACATTAATGTGACTAAACTGATTACAGAAGCAGCAGTTCTGTTTTTCTACGAGTACGTCACTTACTGCAGTTAAAGTATGAAAACAGCGACAGATTCAATCTAACAATTTACGTATATGTAATGTACATGTACATTATTCTGAACTTCATTGCTTTTTGCACTTCTAGTTAGATGCTGTACTCTGTGCAATGTCAATAAAGTTTCTGAAATTGTTGTCTTATTAAGTGTGACACATTTTAGTACAGTATATTTAACTATTCAACAGTACATAAACTCCTTAATAGCAGCTTCACCCCCACCAACTTAGAATGCTCCTTATGTTATGTTATTCAGTATTTTTGTACTGTGGTGTTCTGTATTATACATTTCAGGATCACATTTATTGTAAGACTGTTTTTACATAGTTTGCTTCGGTAAGAAACAATAAAGAATAGAAAAAATATAATAAAATAATTTGAAAGAATGTTCAAAAATACAAACAATATAACTTTAAGATAAAAGAGCTAAACAGGAATATGTAAAAATACTTTGTAGTGGATGCAGAAAACTTCACAGTATTAAGAATATAAAGGCAATGTGATGTACACAGACAGCAATCAAAAAACATGCGTGTTAATAATATAATAAGGCAAATGAACAGATGTGAACATGTATCATTTTAATTTAATTAAATGTAAACATTAATTTAGCAGCATTTTTTCTGTATTTTTAGATGTTTAGTATTAATATTAAGTGGGAATATCGGCCCCGATATTAATCACCACTCTTCCTGTGAGCTCATGTTCTGTATCGACCCTGAGGAGCAGATATCGGTCGACCGGAGCTGCGGCAGAAGGCGGTAAACTCAACCATCATGGCCCCCCACCCACCCCCCCACACACACACACACACACACACACACAGTGTATATGACATCTATGTAACAGACCGTCTGTCCTCGTGTCTCACACTGACAGACAGGCTGGGAGAGGACAGACGCTCAAGTGGACAGGAGGTCCAGGTCTCTGTCTCAACAACGGTCCAACCGGACTTTATTTCTGCGTTTGTACCGATAGTTATAGAGGAGAGCAAACACGGCGCTGCTAAGCTAACTACGAGCTGCTGATGCTCTCTGGGTGAATAAGCTAACATATAAACAGTTAGCCAACATGTCAAACAGTTCGCTTCTGTCAGCGACACGGTGAAACACAACGAGTCACTGTTAAACACAAGTTACAGACATTACAAACAGAGTTATTAAAATAAAATGTCATTATAATACCGTCTTACCCGTTACGAGCTGTCCGGTGACACAAGCAACAAACACTACCAGGCTAGCGACACCAACTTCCGGTACGGAGCTTCTTTTTCAAAATAAAGGTCTAACAGAACGTAGTCTATTCAAATAGCAGTGACATTGACGATGATGATGATGAAGATAGATAGATAGATAGATAGATAGATAGATAGATATGAATATTATATAGATTTTTTTTTATTTTTTTTTTTTTATCTTATATACTTTATTAATCCCCCTGAGGAGTTCATTCTGGTCGTCAAAATTATTAGATTTCACAGTTTACAGTAGGGTGGCCATATTTTGATTTCCAAAAAAGAGGACACTCGCCGGCCACGACATAGCCTACTTAAATGATACTCGCAGTTTACTCAAAGATGCCTTATCATTTTAATATATTTAAAGTTAAATGTATGGATAGAAAATTCAGTTATATTACAAAATAATATCTCTCAAAGACAGAAATTCAGATAGGCCCCAATAGATAGGGGACACATACACACACTAGAGTGTGGCGATCTGAGCCCGACAGGTCCCGACGGTAGACCTACCCGACGTGTCGGGCCAGGTTCTGTCAAAAATGTATAAATTGTATTCGGGCTCGGGTCGGATTCGGTCAGCTTTCAGTGAAAATGTAGTGTAAAAATAAATAAAATCCTATTGTCTGTCCTGTTTATTGCTTGGGGACTGTTATTTATGTGACAACATCTGAACATAACACACACACACACACATTGGCTGTTTGTTTCTACCTCTCCCCTCGCTGGAAGCCTCGGACCTCCAGCCGCCAGCTCCCGTCTCAAACACTGAGGTCTCCCTCTCCTGTCAAATAGCCTGTAACCGTAACAACTGTGTGACACAAACTCATCAATTTATAAACACCCCCAGGACGCCCCGGACAGGACGTGAAAAGTGGACATGTCCGGGCAAAAAAGGACGTTTGGTCAGCCTAGTTTTACAGGCCAAAAATTCAATGAAAATGAGGGATTCTTTGTCTGTCTACCAGAAATTTGTCCTGGTATTGATCAGAGGGCTGTGAAACCATTTGTAAATTTACAGAGGATGATGTTTAATGGGTAAATGAATATATAAAATGTGAAGAAAAATATGTTTGTTTTGGTTGCAAGTCGGAAATGTCTTCAGACCGTTGGGCTGTGTCTGAGGTCACTGGACTCATGACCTCAGGACTTTAGTATTTCTGAAATCCTGGCTACAGCCTGCATCAGACACAATTAAAGTTCCTTATATTATACTATATATGCACTGTAGTATAGTACTGTAAATACTATTTTCTGTATTCTTATATTCAGTTTCCTTCTTATTGTGTCCAGTTAAAGAGCTTTTAATTTGAAGGATAAAATGCTCTACAGGAAATTGTTTCTGAGTTTTATCCATAGACTGTATAAAAATATCTGAACAAATATTTTCTGACTCAGTAATCAGCAAGATTTAAGTTTTTTTAGCTTTATTTTTATTATTTGGTTTAATTTGTTTTTTCGTTTTTATTCATGATTTATTTAAAAGGGGCGGGGGGTTGACAGGGGTTGGTAAGAGCCACACACTTGTACAAAACCAGGTTTTTCATCTAACCAGTCAGAAGGTCAGATAATTTGACATATTGATAAAGTCATAGTCTCAAAGAAAAGAGCACAATTTTAGTCTTAAAAATGTGTTTATTTGAAGTTTATGGTCCACAGAGAGAACAACACTTTATCTCCATCACTCTTATTTCTTTATGTTACAAACTTGATGTGACAGTAAACCCTCTCCTCTCTGCAGTTAGATGAGTAGCCTGTAAAACTGAGCTACGTCAAAAACCACACAAGACCAGTTTGTTAAAAAATAAAAATAATAAAAATGATACCAAGCTTGAATCCATTCTTCCAGAGCTGTGACAGGTGGCGGCGCTTTGTGACTTAATGGTGACGACCTGGACACAGTTTATCAGACCAGAACAGCAGGACAGTTAAATCAACACGATGCTCTGACAGGAGAAAGTTTTACAGCTTCAGAGTCACTCTCAGATTCATGTGTGTGTGTGTGTGTGTGTGTGTGTGTTCAGATGCGTCCTCGCAGCAGGAACATGAGGAAGACTGCACTGAGGAGGATGCAGAGCGTGCACACGGTGGGAACCACGATCTCTGTCACCATCTCCATGTGGCCGATCAGCGGGTCTGAAACACACACAGAGAGCTGTGAGTAAATGTCTCCACCTGCAGTCTCAGCCTCACGTCACATGTACAGGTGGTGCTCAGAGGCAGGATGGTTACAGGTTATGACCCACGTCCACACACCTTGTGGCTGCTTCTGCAGTGCAAGTGGGCTTTAAAATTTTGGGTGTCAGTAGCTCAGTGTGTAGGGAGCTGGTTTGAGTTTGGACTGGTAGCTGAAGAGGAACCAGTTTACTTCCTGGGAACTACTGAGGTGTCTTGAAGCCATTAACTAAAAGCGCAGAGCACCTGACTGTGTGGAGCCCCATCACTCCAATGGAAATAACAACAGTGTGAAAAAACAAAATGTCCCCAAGAGGAATTAATTCCTCTTAATGATGAAACTTAGTTTTTTAAACCATTTAAAACTTGGCCTTATTTCAGAAAGTGGCATTTTAATGTTGCCATCAGTCACAGTGGAGATAATTTGAACAATTTAATTTATTTGTGGGCAGTTCTTTGTTAAACACTGAGCCTCACGCAGCAACACTCACTTCAGTGTTTTCTCTTAATTCTCTGTTCAGAAAAAGAAACAAGAGAAGTCAGCTCCAAATGTTCTTAAACATCCAACTCTGCTCTGACCCAGGTGTGCTGAATGATTGATCCCAGTTGATCATGAGTCACCTGTTGGCACAGGTAAGGCCCCCTAAACACTGTATCAGGGCAGGTGTTGTGTCGTGTGCAAAGACTCTGACACATGACCAAGATCTGGAGAGATGTCACTGAATAAAGGAGTGAAACCCAAATTGAAATCTTAGGAAAAGTCCTGAATTAAGAATATTACTCACTGCATGATGTATATGTACAGATACATAAGTACATAGGTGCACTGGTGCATACATGTATGTATATCTATACAAGTATGTGTAGATAAGAACACAAACACATGTATGTACATATATATGTATGCATGTACATAGAGATATGTGCACAGGTGTGTACATGAATAAGATGCGTACATATGGGAACATGCAGGTATGTCTGTGGGTGTATAAGTGTCCGTGTATATACATGCAAGTTTAGATAATTATTGATAACATAGATAAGTCCTTGTATTAAATGTATAAATGTATGTACAGTGTATGATCTACTAGAACCTGTTGTACTGGATGTACGGGACGTATTGGTTGTTTATATCTTTTATATATTTTTTTAAGTTATTTTCCCCTTAACTCTGACTGAAAATTTTCTTTGTAAGGCTTAAAAACAAATAAAGTATATAGAAAAAGAAAATATTACTCAAGTTAAAGTATGTTAAATGTATTTAAGAATTAAATGTAAAAGTTCTCAAAAAATTGAATCAATTCAAAGAAAAAGCAGCAAGTCCTCAAATTTCAGAGGCTGGAACCATGGAATGTAATTGCATTGAAAATGACAAACAATTATCGAAATTAATTTTCAAATCAATCGACTAATAATTTCAGCTGCACTTTTATATTTTCATGTGGTTTAAAAACTTAATTTGTAAAGTAACTAAACTTGATTAATAGTTGTAGCAGAGTAAAAAGTACAGTGTGTTCCTCTGAAGTGTCGAGGAGCAGAGGCAGCAGGTTGTACAAGACGAAAATACTAAGTTTTCTGCCTGAGGCCCATCGTGATCACTTTGAGTGTAATCTGCAAAGCGATTAATTCCTGCAGCTCTCAGTGAAATGTGTTGCAGTAAACCGTGCAGTGGAAGTAGAGCAGGAGTTTAAAGTAGCACTGTAAAAAACAAAATCATGTTGATCTCACTCAGAAACAACTGTAGTACCTAAACTTCATCATGCACTGGCCAAGCCTTTTGTATCCCTGCATGTTCCTGATCTCCCTGGGACTTTCTTCTAGCTGGAGGGGCGAAACAAAGAAGAACCCTGTTAGAGCACAGAAACAAGCTGGACACAGAATTTTCCTTTGTTTGGCCCCGCCCAGCTTCATCACAGCCTCCTCATCATCATGGTACTGACCTGCAGCCAGGAGCTGGTTACTGGAGGAGCACGTCTCCACGGCTTTCCTCTTCCAACTCTCCACCTGTGAAGATCCCACAGCTGGTTAAACACCATGTTCAGAGAGGCTTCATGACGCTCAGTGAGGTGTGACACTTTACCTCTCTCTGATTGGGGAAGCCATTCGAGCTGATGATGCGTTTGTAGAACTGGACAGACGCCTTCGGGTAGCGTGGTTTGTTCTTGTTCCTGAAGTCCACGTAGTAGAGTCCGAACCTCTCGGAGTATCCTTCGTCCCACTCAAAGTTGTCGAGGAGAGACCAGGCTGTGTAACCCTTCACGTTCACCCCGTCCTTTATCGCTGGTAGAGAGAAAGATCAGCGACGTGTCAGCTCTGTTAGTCGAATAAAACATGAAGCAGACAGGAAAATGTTTCTGATCTTATCTTTGTGTCGAGTGCAGTTGTTGTTTCACCTTTGAGCATTTCGTTGATGTAGTCTTTGAAGTACTGCATCCTCCAGTCGTCACAGAGGTCGGTGCAGAGCATTTTCTCTGACACGCCGTTTTCTGTCACGTATATCATCGGGTTTCCGTACTGAGTCTGTCAGAGAGACATCGGATTACATTCAGGAGGGAAGACATACTGTTACTGCTTCATATCATCGTGTCCTGTTATTAATACAGTATATTTCATGTCTCCTAACACAAATCTTTCTAATGTTGTGTCACAGGGTGTTAGTCGTATTTATGTGACATATTTTCAACAGGTTTGTTTTCTTGCCGACAGTTAAATGAGAGCATGGATCACCATGTCTGTGCATTAAAGTGGAAACAGACAATATGTTTTTTTGGTTTAACGATATTTATCCAACATTATCATACTGTACGCCTCATTTTCACATCCAGTCCTGTTTACCATCAGGTGTGAGAATCTAGGCTCCATTTAAAACCACAAACTGTCACTTTTACTTGTGTTTGCAGTTTATATAATTAAACATCAAGATATAGCTAATCACCCTTTGGCTCCAGCTCCATAGTCAGAGTGATTTCCATCTCCTCATCTAACTTGTAATAAAATAGTAATAAAAAGTTTGTTTCCAACAATATTTAACAGTTCATTCAGTTAAATTTTCAGTACTTTCAAACTTTGTATCAGCAGAGTTTTGGTGGATGTGAGAGCCCAGCATGCATCTCTCTTTATTGGGATTTGTGTGTGATGTAGTAGGTTTACTCTTAGTAAAATTTCATTCTATATTTGACAGCTCTTATTAGGGGGGTAAATAACTGATTCTCAGGTGCACTGGGATACGAGTGTGGATGGCTCCAGTTCACAAAGGTCAATAATCAGTTCTGTAAATGTTTATTAATAACGTGATGTTGACAGAACGAAAGAGGTGAAACTCAACCACGAGGGCAGTGCAGCATCCACACAGTCTACAGCACAGACGTGCTAATGTTAATTTGTCTTTACAAAATGCAGCAGTTACAAGCATGTTTTAATTTGATGTCCAAATAATTAGATGAACGTGAAGTATATCATAAAAACTTTCGAAGCCATCACCAAGAGGCGAACATTAACGGAGCGAAGCAACAATCAGCGCGTACACAAATGAGACCGGCTGACCAACGCATGTTGTAGCATCAAACAACTTAAGGCCCTGACACACCAAGCCGACAGTCGGCCGTCGACCAAAGTCGGGCCATCGGTGAGCGTCTGTCGCCCTAGTTTTTGCGGTGTGTCCCGCGTTGTCAGCACTTCGGCGTCGTCGGCTTTTTGGCCGATTGAGCATGTTGAATCAGCGGCAGAGCTTGACGGTGAGAGAGATCACTCTGATTGGCTGTTCAGTTTTTATTTCCTCGCCCCTGTAGCGAGTGAATCTGCCTGTAGTGAAACCGGGGCTAACCGGTGCTTCCTCCTCAGGCTCCACTTCACTCAGCTGCCCCACAGACCCGCTGCTTCTTCACACTTTAACCTGAATAACAAACCGGAGCTAGCTGGGAGCGGCTAGCGGAGCGTTAGCCGCAGCATGACCGGAGGGAAGCACAGCCAGTTAGCCTCCGCTAGTCTCTGAGCTAGCCCCGGCTCTCCGTTTGGATCCAACCGGAGCACCGAGCCCTGGTTTGTTATTCAGGTTAAAGTGGGAAGAAGCAGCGGGTTTATCGGGCAGCTGAGTGAAGTGGAGCCTGCGGAGGAAACACCGGGACCGTCTGGATGTAATAGTCCGTGGAGGTGCTGCGGTGCTCGGCTGCACAGATATGAAACCCCTCGGCTGACAGGATGTACCACTCTCTCACTCCGCTCTCTCTCACGCAGGCGCAGAACGTACGTGCTACTTGGCCGTCGGATGTAGTCCGTGTAGTGTGTTCAAATGCATCTGACACAGGGCGACGTGAGGCGACGTAGACGACGCAACAGTTGGCTTTCGTCACCGCTAGTTCTTTGATGTTGGTTTGGTGTGTCCGCACCTTTAAACCAAGACGGAGTTGATGTGCAGCAGATAAGCTGCTCTCCTCTGCTGGAGGCGCAGCAAAGCACACCACCTCCCCCTCATTCTGTTATTCACATACAGGCAGGAGACTGTAACATGCTTTCAAATGAATTCATGCAGTTAACTTTTAAAAATAAAAAGGCTGCGGACCATTCACTGTTTAACAGGATGTGAAATGCAAACTGTTTCCAGTAAAATATTACAGCATGCACACACTGGCATGATTATTCCACAGTGGGTTACAGTGAGCGGCCACAGATGGATACAGTCTGATTGGTTTAAAGTTCGGTATGGAAACATTTCGGTTTTGAAGTTGAAGGGAAAAGGGACCTGTACAAGAGTCACACTGTCTGTAAGTAAATTCATCTGTTGATTTAATCATGGATCAACACAAATACAGTGTGCTGTGTTTGAAAAGCAGTAGTCACACAGTGAGAAAATAAAGCATGTATAGAAATTAAAAATTTTGATGCATTGAGATGCATCGCTCATCGTTTTATCATCAAATCATTGAATCATATCATGAGGTGTGTGGAGATTCCACCCCTGGATCTTACACAGCTGGACGTCTGGGTTTTATTCACATTTGTGTTGCGTACCTTGACAAAGTTCAACAGGCGTCTGAAGCCCCAGGGAACAGAGTAGAGCCACTCAGATCCTGGATCAGGCCACTGTGGGTCGACCAGCTCAGCGAGGTCACGGTCTGCGAAGTAGCTGTCTCCGACGCTCGACGGGTAATTCTTCAGGGTGACGTAGCGAGTGGTGAAATGGCCGAGGCCCATGAAGTCACAGGTTCCCTTGATGTAACTCTTCTCCTGAGGCGAGAAGACGGGCAGCCGTGATGCTCCGAGGCCCTGCTGGCCGCTCTTCCTGCCTGAAGGTTAAAGGTCAAAACATTTAATAAGCAAACTAACACATGAAGGAGCAAATTATATTACAAGAAGTTTTTTGACCAGATAACAGATGCTGACATTTCCTAACGAGGACAGTCTCACAGTTTTCATTTGACAGCTCTGTCTCCTGCAAATAACGTTTTTGTAAATTAATTAAACACCAAGCATCAACACAGTTATAAAAACAGTTTAGTGATGCACCGACACAGTTTCTAATAGACGTGGTTACATGTGACCGTGACGTACCGATGTAATCTTTCATGACCTGGGGGTAGTCTCCGTGGAAGATGGGAGTAGCAAACCATCCCAGGTAGAACTGGATGTATCTCTCTGCTGCTTCAATGTCTCTCTGGTTGGTGATGTCCACTGGTTCCCCCCAGTCTGCTGTTAGCGAGATCCCAACCAGGCCTGTGGACACACACACACACACACACACACACACACACACAGCACCTTTACTCTCCAGCGAGGTGGAAATTTATCTTTGAGTCAAATCAAATATCAAAATTAAACATCTGTTCAACAAATCATGTCGTCAGTTTATCTTGTTACCTTTCTGTTTGCTTCGCCACTGCATGTCATACGTGTGCCAAACTTTAGCGTGTGCCTGTTTCAAAGGCAGAAAGACACTTTAGTCTGTTTGATATTATTAGAAAAATGACTTCAAATCACACACAGCTACTAAAATGTGAAGGGTGACAGTATAAAGGGTGAAAACTCTGCCCATTCAGCCCCGACACGCCACAATATGTTGAGTGCACAATGACAGTGTTGTTTATTGGCCTTAATCTAATGATGCGAAATAAGCTTTATAGATTTTAGTCAAATTAATTCAAAACTCAAAAACTGTTGATTTAACATTAAGTTTTTGTGTCAAGTGAACTGAATTTTATGTCATAGATGGATCTGGGTTTACAGTGTGGGAATTTCTGGGTTTGTAACCCAGTCTTGGTGCAGATAAAACCACACCAAACTGGACACAAACATCACCTGTTGACTCTCACCTTGATGATGTGGTGAGCAGCTTTATAAGCTCCTGTTCCCTTCAGCTTCAGTCCAGGTGCATGTTCCCCTGTTTGATATCCCTCCACAGCGATGGACTGAAAACACAAGACGACACTCTGACATCCAACTCAAACATTACACGTGTTCACAGGACAGTGAATGCACCGTCCCTCTGTACGCTGACGTACCCAGGGGTTGTTGAAGGTGATCCAGTACTTCACTTTGTTTCCAAACCTCTCAAAGCACAAGTTGGCAAAGTCGTTGAAGTGGTTGACCATGGTGCCTTTCTGCCAGCCGCCATATTTCTCCTGTAAGAACTGCAGAGTGAAGCCATGTTAGTGTCTGCCCTGTAGCTTCCTCCAGTCTGTGAACACTGAAGGTTTAGTGCTCACCTGTGGTAAATCCCAGTGGTACAGAGTCACTATAGGTGTGATCTTATTGTCCAGCAGCATGTTAATCAGGTCGTCGTAATATTTGATTCCTTTCTCGTTGATGTGTTCACCTGAAAGAGTTAATCAATAAATTCATATTAGTATTCACTAACACACCCAGATCATGTGACTCCTGCATGTATACAGTCAATCAGACCCAAACTGGCCGAGGCGCTCTGAGCATGCTCCACAGTTTCCGCCCCGGGCTTTGACCCTGAAGTCCAATAGCATTAAATGTGTAAGAGAAGAAGAAGCCGGTAACAACATGGAGAAATCTACATCCAGAGCCGTGACTTTTTGGACGGACCAAATGTACAGAGCTGTAAAGTTGTCCACCATGGTAGCAGTTAGCTGCTAGCTAACCGTAGCTAACTTGTTTGTCCATTGTTTGGTCTGTGACGTAATAGGTCAACAGGAAAAAGGTCCAATACTAACAAGCTGAAAGGGGGCATATCTCCACCTATCGTAGAGGAGTCGCACATACTTGGCTCAATAAATGGATTCCCCTCCCGTGCTTGTATACTGGGACAAGGACAGTAGGCCAGTTAGATGTCCTCGTCCAGCTGGGACTGTGGCTCCACTTCACTGTTTCCATGGAAACATATCAACTGTCTTACTAGCGTCTTTTTAGCCATCAAACGTGGTTGTTTTCCCACCAGGGACAGTGGTGTAGAGAGCAGTTGCTTTTCACTGAGACTGCTGCTTTTTCTGCTGAGGTTGTGAATCAGATGTTTTTAACTAGAACTAAGACAATTTTGTGCCCAAACCAAACCACCATCACATTTCAACATATCTTCTCCATAATAAAGTACAAAATCTAATGTGGTGTGCAGAAATGTACAATAATGTCCACCACAATGAAAAAAATGAAAATTAGATATAACATGAGGTCAGGCATGTTCTGTAGTTACTTTTCAGTCCGCTTGGTAAAATCCTCGGCCAGGAGATGGAGAAACGATAATGATTCAGCTTCATGTCCTTCATCAAGTTGATGTCATCCTGGAAAACAAACAGCAGGAAACATTTTCAAAATCACGCTCTGCTGCCAGACACTGTTCCCACACACACACACACACACACACACACACACACACACACACACACACACACACACACACACACACACACACACACAGCTTTATTTTAAGTTTTACATTTGGAGAAATATTCTGATTGGTTTTCTTGGCGAGAGTTAAATGAGAACTTTGAGAGGTGTATCAGTCTTCCTCTTCTAACTCTGCAGCAAAGCAAACAATTCAGTTTCCCAAAATGCAAAAAACCCTTCTTAAAACTCCAGTGGACATCTTAAAGTTTCCAAAGACATCAAACACAGGGAATAATGAGCAGAATATTTTCATTTAATGGAGTCCTGTAGCCATGAAAAAAATATGGATTTTACAGAATATGTAAGATACTGACAAACAGTGTGGAATAAGACAGTTTTAAGCTACTTAAGTAGAAATAAGAGGTTAAAAATTAATTTGGTTACTACAACAGACACCTACACTCACAGAGACTTAACTCCAAATCCTACAGGTGTGGTTGCAGAATTAGAAACAAACTGAAACTGAATCAAACTTAACTAAAATTAACAAATAATAACAACTAAACTAAAAAATGTTTTTGTCAACCCTAGTTGAGGTTTACACGCGTGAGTGCTTTCTCCTCTTCTGGAGATGTCCTAAACTCTCTTCTGCACGTCACCTTTAATTTGTAGTAGCCCTCACACGAGGCGTCTCCCGTGTCGTTCAAGAATATTTTGCCCTTTTTGTGGGTGAAAGCGTCCCAGATGCTCATCCCTTTGCCGTCTGCATTCCAGGCTCCTTCAGTCTGATAGGCAGAGCTGCCGGCGCCCCATGAGAACCCTGCAGAGGAGAAAACATACATGTTGATGCTTTGATTATGACACAGGGCTCCTGCAGATCCTGAAAGACAGTGAACTCATTCATCTAACAATAGGACCTTAATTGGTTTTAAAATGTCTTAAATCAATCTTTAAAAAATCTTAAACATGCTGAGACATGGGGAGCAGGAATTTGTGAATCTTTTTTTTCCTGATGTTGCATTTTAAAATCTCAAATAACAGACAACTTTTAATAATAATTTACTGAATGCCTCCTGCATTAAGGTCAACAAAATTCCTGTTTTATGCTACAGTGGATATTTTGGCAAAATTCTCCTTCACCTTTAGTAGCTAAATGATGTCAGTTCATGCCTTTTTGTCTTAAATTTCACTCTGAGTGGCAATAAAAAAGTTTTAAATCTTCCTTGCGTCAAGCTGTAAGAACCCTGATTATAGTGTTTGCACAGGCGTAGATTTTGGGGGGCTACAGGGAGCACGTCCCCCTCAATCCTTCGAACATGTGCATTTGTACCCCCCAATAAAAACATAAAAGCAGCAGTAGAAATGAAATTGATGCAGAAAAATGCACCAGAATGCAGAAAATTAAATGTTTAATGCTGAAAATTTTCTGGTGGACGACTCTAAACTGTCTGTGTCATTATGTGTCCGTCCCCCAGAAACTAAAACCAAACCAGCGTCCTGTAGTGTCTTTGGTGAGTGAATATTTGGTGTTTGATCATGAGTCGTACCAGTGGGGAAGGTGCCGTAGTAAAAAGATGTTCTGTCGTTCTTGGTCCAGTCAAAGTCCTCTCTGGCTGACACACACAGCACCAGTGCGAGCACATGGTACGGCCTCAGGATGCACAGCTGCAGCATCGTGGTCTTTGGCAAAGAGCTCACTGTCTTCAGTTACACCTGAAGGACAAAAATTACTCAGCTTGATTTCACAGATATCAAACCTGTCAGAACAGCTGCGAGGTCACATCTTGTGTTAGTCGACGCTGAGCCAGACACACAGAGTCACAGATGTGTTAGAGTAAAGCAAAGAAACTCACTCAGAGAAGTCAGGAGAAAAAGCATCGTAACTCACACCCCACACCTCAGGATCATTTGTTAAATATCCACTGAAAAAGCATGCGGTCATTATCAGAGCTCGTGGACAGAAAGAAGGATCTAGTTTCATTTCAGCCAGCTGTAGGACACACTGACACAAAATGCTATCAGAGACAGAAAGTATGCCAGCTTGTCCAGCACGGTCAGGATGAGCGACATTTCAAACTGCTGTAAATCTTCACTGGTGTCAAAGATAACTGAGATTAAGGAAAGAGAAGTGGGTTCAGATAAGAGTCCTCCTGCCAAAGCCTGTGCTGTGTCTCTCCCTACATGTGTCCCTTTGCCCAGCGTCTGTCTCAGCCCCGGCCGCCTCACTCAGAACCACATATACATGCCTGACCTGCTGCATTTGTCTCTGCTGGAAACTGCTCCAAAGTACAGGAAACGTCCCCAAGCTTCTGGACCTGCTGGATGCTCCCCCGTGTCCCCGGCAGGCTCACGGCCAATGTTACAAAAACAAAACAGAGTGAAGCATCCAGTGACATTTTCTGCTATTCATCAGCCCACACACACACCAACACACCCCCCCTCCACACGTGCACTGAATAGCCCTCCATTTGGAGTCAGTGGAGTGTGACGGTGAATTTGCTGGGGCAAACAGATCTTTTGGAGAAAGAGGAGATTCTGACACTGTAAGCAAAGTTAATGTCAGTGAGCCTGATCCATCTGCAGCTCGCTCTCGTTACATTTAATCAGCTTTTTACTCTGATTGAACACAGCAGAGAGTAACGTCACTGAAGGAGCTCTGACACTGTGTGTGCAGCCAGCACTGAGAGACGAGCAGAAATCAGAACATAAACCAGTCATCACTGTTTATTCTCACTCCTATCGTCCTGCATTTGTGTCACACATTGAGACACCTGGTTAACACATATATACAAATATACAAATCATGTACTCCTAATAGTTAGTATTACCACAAGGACTCAGGCTGAACAGCTGTCATAAAAATACTATCTATTGGTCAGAAACATGCACACCAGTAGCCTGCTGGAGGTCATGTTGTAGGGCTCTGGCAGTGCTCCTCCTGTTCCTCCTCACACAAAGGAGCAGATAGCGGTCCTGCTGCTGGGTTGATGCCCTTCTACGGCCCTGTGCAGCTCTCCTGGTGTAACGGCCTGTCTCCTGGTTTCTGGTATCATCCTGATTGGGCTGCAGGTTCTGCCTCATGCTACCAGTAGTGCCAAGGACACTAGCAGAAGACCAAACGAGAGAGCAACTGTCTGTGGACACCACATGTAAAACCATTTCCTGTTTGTCTCTTTAATTTGCACCAAAGCAGCTGAAACTAATTCACAATCACTCAGACTGATCTCCCTGAAGGTTGACTGACTTCCTGTCTGACAGTGACCATTAAGTGTTCCCTTAGTCTTTTGAGCCATGTATATACTGTTTGCCTATACTTATAGTGGCAATGTGAACGTGAGCAATGTGACAGAATGTAGAATTACAGAGTGGAAATGTTGTGTTTCACCTGAGAGAAGTGCGCAGCCACAGGACTACACGCTTCATTCAGTGTGGACGGTACTGCGGTGTTCGGCACTGTGAGTTTTTAAAGGTGTAGTGGCCCTACAGTACCAGTATGAGCATGGTGAAGCTTAGCAGCAGCACATGAAATGATCCCCTTGATATTGTATCTTTGAGGGCGGGTGAATGAGACAGCTTGTGTGTGAGAAGACATTGTTGGCAGTGACCACAGGGGGAGGAGGTTTCTTGTGAACCACACGTGGGGGGTTTGAAGCAGCAGTTCTGGAGTACAGGATCTGTTTCAACAATATTTCGCATTGTAAAATCTTTAATTAATTAGTAACTTTAAAAAAAAGAAATGTACAAAATGCCCCTCACATGAACATCACAATAGATCAGGAGAGTGGAACCAGCTGCGATGCTCAGAGTTCACAACGCGCTGTCACTGCACCCTGGACGACACGGTGAACTGCAGATTCAACAACAATCAACAATGTCACCAAAATCTCGCAGCACAGCTGAGATCAGAACAAGGCAGTGCACACGAGGCTCTGTGCAGTTTGTGCAAAGTGTCTTTCAAACTCTGCACGATTGAATAAAGGCACCAACATGCAGAGTGAGAGACGCAAAGTCACCACAACGACTTGCCAACAAACAGCAGGTATTTCCCACCTCTGCTCCTCCACTGTCTCTGATTCAAGACAGTTACAATAAATAATGTGGCCAAACTGTCCCCAGCCCTCAGTGACTGATTCAGAAGCACATGCTCCGTGCACAGCTGTCAGTGCTCGTAACGTGGTGCAGGTGATGGCAGGAAACATCAGGCTGACACAGGAGGGCTGCATTGCTTCTTGTTTTAATTTAGTCTTCAGTTGAAATATTACAAACAGCTTGTTTCGCTAAAAGTAAATTAACAAGACTAAATTAAAAGAAGAAGTGATCCAACCTTGGTGTTGTTGTGGCCTCTCAGTGACTCATGTCAGGTCATGTTTTTGTTTTCTGTTAGTTATTATAAAATTGGCCTTAAATTTCCTTCTTTCTTTTTTTTATTAACATTTTATGATTATAACAACAAAGACATGGACCACAATCGTACAAAACAAAACAACACAGACAAAGACAGAAGAGCAAAAACAAGACCAGACAAAACCAGAAATAATAAAGGGGTAGGGGGTTGGTACAAAACATTACAACGAAAAATTTAAAAATTCAGAATCTGTTTAAGCTTTCTCAAGACAAGATCTAATAAAGTCCCAGAGACCATCAAGTTCATCGGGAATTACATCATCTTGGAGAAACAGAGCAGCTTGTTCCATCGATAGCAAGTCTGTAATGTCCTTATACCAGTTCTCCATGCTGGAACAGTCTGGTTTATGTTGCTTCCACTTCATCAAAATTATACGTTTGGCTGACAGAAAGACCAGCGTTTTCATGATATGTACAATTTTTGGTTGCACAGTAGGAGTTTTCACACCCAGAATACCGGACATGGGACAAGGTTTAACATCTATTTTAAGAAGACATGATAAGTTTTTAGTAACATCTGACCAGAACTGTTTAACAAGAGGACAGTACCATAACAAGTGCATCAGCGTACCCTCTGCTCCACAACCATGCCAGCACAATTTAGATAAGTTATGGTCTATTTTCTTCAATGTGCACGGTGTAATATATGCTCTGTGTATGATTTTTACTTGCATAATTTTATATCTGATGCATTTTGATATTTTAGTGCTATTTTTAAGGGCCTTAAATTTCATTCTGAGTTCTGACCGCTCTGTTTGGTGTGTGGCCTTTGCAATCTGTTCTTTCTCCTGTTAAAAAAGATTTAATTGCATTTACAACCCTGATGGCCAGGAGGTTAATTCTGTTGAAATGGAAATCCACAGTCCCACCCACCTATACCATCTGGATCAATGAGGTGCTTTATTTTCTCAAGCTGGAGAAAATCAGACTGAGCCTGTCTGGTAAAACTGATTCATTTGATGGGACTTGGAACTCTTTTTTGTCTTATGTGAACAGCACAGAATGTCAGATCTCTTTGGACTGAAATGGGAATTACAACAATGTATCTTGCATGAGATGTTTATTTATTTATTTATTTTTTCTTGCTATGTCATTTTCCAGCTTCTGTTTTTCTTGTGCTTGAATGGGGTAGGTGCCCGGGTGGTGCGTGGGGGGAGAGGGATGTTGAGTCTTGTTGTATGGCTCTGTTAAACTCACAGCTGTAACACAGAACCTGTGAACCACTGTATTTTTATGTGAAAAAATCAATAAACAGATTGTTAAAAAAATAAATAAATCAATTTCATTCTGAGTGGTGATAACAAGTTTTAAAAAAGTCCTAAACTTAACTTGCGTCTGTAGCTGTAGGAACCCTGAACTGAGCCAATGAGAACAAGAGCTACACAGTCACACAGTCTGTAGAGTGAATTTCCCTGAGCCTGTAACAGCCCAGTCACCAGCAGGACATGTTGACAGTGTACGTTTCTGTAAACCACAAATATGTTATATTTTACATTATGCATCATGTCAGTGTTTCTAAAGTGACGTAGTATCTGAGCTGACTGTGTCATCAGCAGGTGGAGGGGATGGAGGATGGTGTGACACCTCAGAGAGACGAGAGAGCTGCAGACACTGTTCAGCACCAACTAATACAACAGCTGCTTGTGTTTAATGAGTCATGGCTGTGTTTCCACGGCAGCTCTTTAGGCACCAAATGTAGATATAGGCCCGTTTCCACTGAAGAAGTTCCTGGTACTATTTGGGGGGCAGGAACTACAACAGGGACGTCCTCTCGCTCGGCCCTCTCAACCGCCGTGTCTCCACTGAGAGAGCGGAGTAGGAGGAAGGTTCCTGTAAAGTTACGGGCTCTGGATGTCATGTAATCGTTGCGTGACCATTTTGACTGGGGCGACGTAGGGCCGTAGGGACGCCGTTAGCTGTTAGCGGTGTCTGTAATAACTCTGGTCACGGTCTGTGAAAAAAATATTTTTTTCCAGCGCATGTCTTAGTTACAACATGATTGAGCTAACTGGAGTAGTTTCATGTCGTATCCAACAACGGGAGGCTTTTAACAGATGACGTCCTGATGTTAGCTTTGCTGCTGCTGTTAGCTGTCCCTGTCAGCTGATGCTTTCTAGACATCGTGATTTCCCAAAACTGAATAAATACCACACACAGTAACACAAAACTGCTTTGCTAGCTCAATCATGTTGTAACTAAGATATCTGCTGGAAAAAATATTTTATTCATGGACCGGTTAATGAGTTATTGAGTTATTACAGACAGCGCTAACAGCTAATGGTTAGCCCAACTAATCTACGATAACCATGTTGTTAATTACAAAATGTCACATCCCTCCTTGAGTATATCCAATCAGCACCAAGTAATCCCCAAGCCCCAGCCAGGAGTCTCTCAGGGCCGTTCTGAGTACCTACCCCGAGGCAGGGACTTGTTTAGCCCCTGTAAAAGTTCCGGAACTCTGTCCTTCGGGGGTGGTTCCTGCGGTGGAGACACGCACCAACGGCCCCGGCCCTGTAAAATTACCCCAAAGTTCCTGCGGTGGAAACGGGCCTTAAGTTGATGACGATTCTCAGTCATCCAGGTCATGCTGGACCTGCTTGAGTTTCTTGAAGATGTTTCACCTCTCATGCAAGAAGCTTCTTCAGGCTTCCGCAGGCTTTAAACTCTGTGTGGCTGTGAACCTTTACAGAGTCATTGAGGCCACATGTGAATCACTGACCCATCTGCATCATGTGTGTCATTAGGGTGTTGAGCTGTCTGAGGAGGGATCTCAAATGCAGTCTTGAGATCCAGCACCAAACATGGGTATTTTGTAGTGACCCGTGCCTGCCT